AACATTGTAACATTCTTCAGTTCGTTTCAAGGTTTGACTTTCTAATATTCCTCAAGGGCTTTAATAATAAAGTGTAGGCATGTAGACATCTATAAAAGATATATTCCTGAGAACTGTGCACAAATTCATTTTTTGTAAATGGACTTGTTTTCCCATTTACTTAAATTGTAATGTGAGACACTGTCTTTATTTCTTCTCTAGTAAAGTTTTTGTAGACAACTTTCTTAAGTTTGATTAAGTTTTCCCTCCTCTCCTTAATTCTTGCTGCATCAGTAGTTAATGGCTGGTGTATTAATCTTGCTGCAGTAAGAACTCCTAAATTGTGGCCTCCAGTAATCCACATCTATTTCTCACATTACACGTTGGCTGTGAGTGGGTGGGGTCTTAAGTCTGGGGTCCAGGTGTTGGAGCAGCCCAGATAAGGAGCATGCGCTTCTCCTGAGCGAGAGCAAGGGACAAGACACAGAGCCTGCCACACGATCACTCTCGGAGCCCTGCTAGGATGTGGCCGATTTCTCACTTTCCTTCTGAGCTCCCGTTCCTGTCGGCAAAGCAGTCACACAGTCAACCCTGATGACATGGTGACAGGGAGGGTATACTCTGCCTTTGAGAGTTCTTGCATGTGCTGGGGCAACAGAGGGGCCGTGCAATCCTGTTACAGAGAGGCAGCAAACAGCCACACACCATGGGCAAGAAAACAGCCGCACTAGAGGGGAGAAACCTTAAGGAAGCGGTTCCCTTCCTGTGTATGCCCGAATACAACATCTCTTCTGCCTTCATCTGCCACCTGGCTCCAAGGTAAAAATAGAAAACAAAACATGAAAGGAGCATTGGTGAGAGACCATTCATTCACCTAACAAACTGTTACTGAGCGCTCACTATATGCCAGGCCTTGTTCTAGGTGCCAGGAATAGAACAGTGAGCAAAACAGGCAAAAGTTCCTATCCTCATGGAGCTTACATTCTAGGCGGGGAGAGACAGACAATAAACACGTCTACTGTATGTCAGGTGCCTATCAGGCTGTGACACGGCTGTGTCTGCCCACGTGGAGCATCCCCATCCCAGCCCCCAGCACTGGACAGGGTGCTTGAATTCACAGGTGGAAAGTAGTTAATGGAGCAGGAATGTTACCTAGATGTCTTTCAGCGCCCTCAGGGGTGTACAAATCAGGAAATAAATACACATAGCCACTATTTTTTGAGCTTTTACACTGTGTAGGGCACTCAGGTTCTTACAAACTAAAATGACTGCATTCAGAGCAGTTCTCTGTATGGCCCCCTTCAACTGCTGGGTATTTTAAAGGAGTTCTCAGGGCTCTTGTGTGGTCTTCCTGGAACTGGAGCAGTACATGTGAGCAGGGAGTTGAGTTGTTTTGAACAACTTCTAAGGGGCAGCCACTGAATAAAGTGCCCTCCGTTCCTATTCTTTGATTCCTAACAAAGCCAGAAGACGATCTTTCTTTTCCTCATTCTTTGGGTTATTACTGTGACTCCCTCTGTCTGGCTAACACTTGCTCATGCTCAGGCCTTCTCGAGATCACAGTTCCAGTCATGGCGCCCTTTACTGACCGTGCATAGCCCCTCTGCCCTTGTGTGTGTGTGTCTGTTTACATATGCAAGTCTGAATTGGTTTAAGATAGTCCTGTTAAGATAGCAAACCTAATGAATTCTTTTGTCACCACTTGATCTTCAGCATCCAGCACAGAGTAGGTGCTTAATACACATTGGCTGAGTGAGTACATGGACTAGACCACTTTCACAGAGTAGAATATGTCTTCGTGCAAAATAGACATTTGAGGACCATTGACACTGGTGCTGTTATAAAATTAGAGGTCATTTGGACAATATAAATGACCTCCACCAAGTCTGTTTATATTATAAGCTTAAACTTTCTTAGAACAGCTTTATTTTTTGTTTTTGGAGTACAGTGCCCCTGTGTTTAGGAAAGCTAGAGCTATGGGGATGCCTCCGGGTTTGCCTGGCAGGTTTCTGGGACTTGAAACTTGGAGCTTATCAAGATAAAGCCTTTGTTTACCCTCAACAGCTTGTCTTTGAACAGTAGAACCGTGGCTCTAGTTCAGTAAATGTTTGTCTATAGAAAGCATGAACTTTTTATAAGTTTGAAGCAATGTAGGAACAACAAGGGAGTGTAGTGAGATTTTCCTGAAGCTAGATTAATTCCACTTAAATTCCTTCAGTAAATATTTATCAAGTACCTCTTACATGCTAGGTGTGTTCTGGGTTTCATCAGTGAACACAGTAGGCCAGAATCCCTCCCTGCACTGTTGTCTGTTGCAGTGTAACAAACGACCACAAATTTAGTGGCTTGAACCAACACCCATTTGTCTCCTCCTGACCCCATTAGATCACAAGTCTGGGTGTGGCTTAGGGCATTCTCTGCTCAGGGTCCCACAGCTGGGTCTGCTCTCTCCTCGGAGGCTCAGAGTGCTCTGCGGTGCTTACTCATGTTTTTGGCAGAATTCATCCACTACGATCATAGGACTGAGGTGTCTGCTTTCTTGCTGGCTGTTCACTGGGGGTGATTATGGGCTTCTGGAAGCCAACTGCCCTTCCCTGCCATGTGGCCCCTTCAGTAAGTCTTCTCCCACTTGCAATCTCTCACTTCCTCTGTCTCTGACCTCTAGACCTAGATCTGGATGGCTCCTGTGATTAGGTCAAGCCCCCCCTCCGCCCCCCACCCCCCGGTTAAAATCTCCTTTTCTATTAACTCAGTCAACTGACTTCAGTGATATCAGCAAAATCCCCTCTGCTGTATGCATGACATCGTCATGGGAGTGACAGCGCCTCATATTTACAGGTTCCACCTGCACTCCAGGGGCGGGAGCCCACGGGGTGTGTGCACAGGGGGCATCTTAGAAGTCTGCCTGCTACAGACTACGGAGTCTGCAGGCTAAGGGGAAAGGGTGGGGAGAGACAGACAATAAATGTAAACATAACTAATAAGCACATTGTATCGTATGTTAGGAGGTGATTAATGCTGTGGCAACATAAAATAGGGTGAGGCAGGAGTGTGGAAACAATTTAAGACAGGGCGGTCATTTGAGCAAAGACTTGAAGAGCCACGCTCAACTCTCCAGAAGAGCTTTCTCGGCCAGGGGAGCAGCCACAGCAATGGCATGAAGGCAAGAGCAGGCCTGGTGGGTTAAAGGACCAGCCAGGAGGCTCTTGGGAAAGGCAATCTGCTATGGGCCCTGAGCATCTCTGCACATTTCTGCTGAACATGCCAGGAGGGCTTTGCCCTGACCGCTGTCTACCCAGGCTGTATCTCCTGACTGTGTTTGTAGTGAGCGACGCCGAAGGACGAGACATCTCCTCCAAGGCAGAGCTGGCCTATGTACTGCTCACTAGAAAGCAGCAGCTTCCTCAGGCTCAGTGTTCCTCTCCTGTCACGTCGCCCACGGCAGGTGCGCATGTCCTCCGTGGAACGAGTGCTAATGTGAAGCTCTGACACCTGCTTTTGCCAAGAGGACTAAAGTCCTTTGCCACTGGCCCAGGAGTCGCATGTCCCAGCATCCATGAAAAAGTCAGAGGCTTGTAAGTAGGGTAGAACCTCACTCCTGGCACGGAGCCCTCTGTGGAACGTCTGTGTGAGTTGAGTGCAATGGGCAAGGGAGAAGAGCAGGAGATACTTTTATTCTTGATGCTGATTCTGTGTCCCTCCTTGGTTTGGGGTGCTAAAATGCTTTTATTTTATGGAATGATGGTGGCAGTGGATGATATTTCATCAAATCTAGAGGCCATTGGTTTTAAGATGCACCATTACGTGCTACTTCCAAGGACCAATACTGCCAATTTGACTATAACCCAGTGCTCTTCCTTATCCCAATTTTTATTTTCTATGTATTAAAAGAGCTTTTTAAGACGTATTTACTTTCTGTTACTCTTGTGCATACATAAAAAGGAAACTGCAAGCAAATTAAATTGGTTAAGGGGTTCTAAAAACCATGCAGGCAGTAATAACATCAAGACTGCTGGGCCCACAGCAACCGATTGGAAGATGCCAATGTTTGTGAGAAGTTTTTTTAAGAAGTGCAGTTGAGAATGAATTGATTACAGTAATTGTTTTTTACACGTTGGAATTTGACAATAGAAAGGTTGCTTAATGTTAGTTCCTACCGTGAGTGCCCCTCAATAGTTTGGAAAGGTCAATGACCCGTGAGCTTTACAGTTCCAGAAGTTGCTGCCCTACAATGTGTCTTGCACTTCCGTTCTAGAGCATCCTTTTCCTCCTTTCTGCATTTCCAAATATTATACATGCTCTCAGACTAAACACAGATCTGTCCCTTAACGGAAAGGGACCTCTCTCACCTCTGCTCTGAGAATCTCCAAACTCTTACTCATGTGGCACATAATACACTGTATTATAACGCTAGTGTATAGCCTTTATTTCCATCAGTGAGATTGGAGGCCATGAGGACAAGAATTGTTTCTTATACCTCTCCCCCCCACCACAGTGCTTTACTTTTCTTAAACAGATGGAAAATTCGATAACATAAATGATCTTTCCAGACGGTTTTAACCCCATTAAATATGGAATTAACAGTGGCTAGTGGGGGGGGGTGCATATTTAGAACCAAATGCTGCATAACTGACCCAAATAGTTTTTTCTAGATGGCTCAGCCATGATTAATCCTGAAGCAGCCAATTAACTTCTTTCATGGAAAGCCAGTGTAAGGCTGAGTGAGTTGGAGGTTGGTGGCAGGGAAGTAAAATGGAACCATTTCTCCTTAGTTTTCCTGATTTCGCCTGTCCCATGGTTTTGCCACTGCCATTCCTTCATCGCTGAAGTGACCCTCTCAAGGACTGCGCTATGAGAAATAGCAGTTCTCCTAAAACTCATACATTCCTGAAGATAATTGACCCCCTAGATAATTAGGGCGCGTCCGGAAACACCTTCTTCAAACCTTCCTGGACTCGCCAAGTCGGCCCTTCACTGTCTCACGTCCTCGTTGCCTTGCAAGGCACAGACTACCACTGTCGCTCTTCTACGTGTGCTGACCGACTCCCCAACTAAACGGTCGCCTCCTCATGCAGGGGGCCATTGGTCTGAAGATGCACCATTATGTGCTAATTCCAAGGAACCAATATAGAGCAAATATCAATATCAATATATTTGCTCTATATTCCCAGCACCTCATTCCTTGGCATGTCCTCAATAACGGTCTGTTGATGAATGAATGGATCTGTCCCCTTTAAGGAGGTGGGAATTGAAGTGTTGTGTCAGAGGATCCCTGAGTTTGTGACTTAGAGGCAACTGAGGGCAGACGCTATCAGGATGCTCACAGACACTCGGTAGCTGGTTTAGGCTCCTTGAAAGAGGGAGGGAGCAAATGATAGCTATTTGGCAAGAGATGCTGAAATTTAGTGGATGCTCCGTAACTACTGGGCAAAACACGGGGAAGATTAATACTTGCTTCAAAGCCTGATTTTTGTGCCTTTTTTGTGTGTGTGCTCCTTAGATGTTTTTTTTTTTAGTTTTTAATTTTTTTTTTAATTTTATTATGTTATGTTAATCACCACTTAACCACCCTTTAAGAAGCCCCTTCCGTGTGGCGGCTACCGTGCCAGGCGCAGCGAAGACAAAAGAACAAAGTGTGGGCTCTGTCTGCAGGGAACCCACAAAGGAGTGAGAGAAACGAACACCTGAGTAGGAGCCCTTCCTAGCAGGAGCCCCCTTGGTGGTTGGCTGGTTCCGGGAAAGAGCTGGTTAAGCAGGAAATCATACACACATATTTTTTTGTCTATAAATGCACAATCATTTTCCAAACTTTTTTTTTTTTAAAGATTTTATTTATTTATTTGAGAGAGAGGATGAGAGAGAGAGAGAGCACATGAGGGGGGGAGGGTCAGAGGGAGAAGCAGACTCCCTGCCGAGCAGGGAGCCCGATGCGGGACTCGATCCAGGGACTCCAGGATCATGACCTGAGCCGAAGGCAGTCGCTTAACCAACTGACCCACCCAGGCGCCCTTCCAAACTTTTGATATAAGACCAAAGCCTCATCTTTGATGATGAGCGTGTTGAATAGAATTCTGAATATTCCTTCCTATGTAGGCTACTCCCCTCATTTCTGGTTTCCAATTTCTTTTCTTTAGAATGGAGTCAGAATTTATAGATAGTCTGGGTGCACAGTCTTTTTAAAGCTTTCTCAGTTATTTTCCACTTATCTTATCCAACATTTAGGTCAAAGACCCCCCCCCTTTTATTATTATTATTTTTTTAAAGCTACTCCCTTTTACTGAGTTCTCCACAGTAGTCAACATAGGTTTTGTAGAAATAATCATCTCTCTCTTTTCCATCAGTTCATGCAATAATGACAGTAACAAGTAAATTGGCCTCAACAGATTTGGGGGTGAACACAGTGAACTTGGTGAGAATTCGTGGGAGCAGAGGTACCTGAGCATGCTAGAGAGTCTAGTATGGTAACTACCAGGGTGACCCTGAGTGGGCAGCAGTAATGGTAATGACTCTAGAAAGTAGGTCAGGCCGAGGTTGGTTTAGAAGAGTGTCTATTGTGCTCAGCAACATAGCTGAGTAAGTGCCATATAAATAAAAGTTTACACCCAAGGTCAGAGGTCCATTAATTCTTCCTGGGGTTTTGGTTAAGATTCATGGCTGCTATTTTACAGCAGATTTCTCATCTCTGGCAGGAATGTGTTAATAATCATTGTTAACATTTACAGAACTCTCATTATATGCAGACATTGTTCTGAGCATCTGACATGGATTAACCCATTTAATCTTCGCAACAGTCCTTAGAGGAGTTTCTGTATTTTTATCTCCACCTTACAGATGAGATAATGAGGCACAGAGAAGTTTAAATAACTTGCCCAGAGTCACGGAGCTAAGAATGGTCAGTGGCGAAGTGGGCTGAGAATCCAGTCCATCATGATTCCGTAGCCAACCTTTTTAACTGTTGTATACTGCATTTTTCTGTATATTCTTCACCTTTGAGAACATGAAAGGTAATGATGCCTTTTCTTATAGAGAACAACAGGTTGTTTATTGTGATGGAGTACTGTGACGGAGGAGATCTCATGAGAAGGATCCATAGACAACAGGGAGTGTTATTTAGCGAAGATCAGGTAAAAACACCTCCAATTTGCCTTTTAATTTATAGTAGGGGGAATTAAATTTATAATGCCATAAGTAGTAGGCCGTGTTTATATACAGCATGATTTCTGGCAAAGAAATTCACACCATAAAACAGTGGATAAATATTCTTGACAGATTTAGTCCAGAACATGTTTGCAATTGAGCTGAAATTGAATCTCTTTTTGAGAGTGAACTTTGAGAAACGATAGTGTTGTATTTTTGGACAATCTCCTGTAGGATGCCCTTGAGATCAATCTTCATGGCTACAAAAATGTGAATGTGGATGCTCCTCAGCCATTTTAAGTGTGACATATTTATAGCTTCACTCTTCTTCCTTTTACCACTTAGTACGCTGTTTTAAAATAGCTATCCCACTTTGCTAGGGTGCATGGAGGCTCTTCGTGGCAGTGGCTATTTGGTTTCATTGATTATGAAGAGAGAGGAGAGAAAGACCAAGAGTAGTAGCCTCGATTCCTATTCTCTCTTTGCACAAACACATTTTTCTTCCATCCTCTGAGCTTCCTTTGGAACTCTCTTGGGAGCTGTGCTCATGAAGGAGACAGCAGGAATGTGTGTGTGGAAGGGAATCCAAATGGTGCCTGTGTGACGGGTGGGGCAGGCCACTGCCTGGAGCAGTGCCTGGGAATGGCTGGCCATCTTTCTTTCCACCATTTGTTTCTGTGTCCTATTTTACTGCTTAAGGACCTCATGCCTCTATCATTTCCTCCTGGAGCTAAAACGGAATAGTTTGAACGTACATATGATTCAAGAAGCGGTATCTCTAAACTTTGTAAATTTAATCAACCATCCTTCCTCTGCTCCTTTACATTATAGATTAAATTCAGTATTTGTAGAAACCCTCCTTTCTTCCCCTCTAGGGATTATTTTGCCACATTTAATAAAAACACTTTTCTCCACAAAATTTTGAATTACATTTCCCTTTGTTGGAAAAGAACTAAAATTACAACTGAATCTTAGCATCTGGAGTATGGCTATTTTTGCTTTTCTTTTCCTTTAACTGTGGAATCCGGCAGACAAAGAACCAATGACATTTTGGAATAGTTTAAGGAAGTCTTTATAGGCATAGAACACATTTTTAAAAAGAGGCTCATAGCCAGCCAAGATAAAATAAAATCATGACTAAGAAATGAAATTAAGTTTCAAAAGTTTAAAAGTATAATATCTGTTTTTATATCATATACACGTATGTTGGTATTTCATTGAAAATTTTAATAACCTCACAGATTCTCTGCTTCTTCCTCTCTCCCTCTCTGCCATTGCACCCTCCTTCCACAGAAAAGGAAACACCGATGGTACCAGGGTTATCAGGAAATGCTGCTTATCTGCTATCCTGATGCAGTTAGCAAACTAGTGTTAAGAAAAAAAAATCATGAACTGCCTCCCTCTCTCCCCTGCTTCTGTTTGTCTTTCTCTGTGTGCGGAGTTCCCCTTGACACCAGCACATTTAGATTTCTTTTTTGCACCTTATTTTTTTTCTATAAAAAGAGAATCATGTGATAAGATGGTATATCTAGTAGTTTCATTCATATAAATACATACACATCAATATGTTATTTCTCTCTTTTCGCATCTCTTCATGAAGACATTTCAATGACCACCAGACTACTGACTGGCTTTGTTTCATGTTCCCTCTACAGATTCTGAGTTGGTTTGTACAGATTTCTCTAGGACTAAAATATATTCATGACAGGAAGATCTTACACAGAGACATAAAAGCGCAGGTAAACAGCTCAGAGAGAAGATCAAGACAGAACTGATCTTTTGTTTTCTTGAAATATCTCCAACAACATAGCATTTTCTCCATTTATAGAACATTTTTCTTAGCAAGAACGGAATGGTTGCAAAGCTTGGGGACTTTGGTATAGCAAGAGTTCTGAACAAGTAAGTACTTTTAAAAAATCATTTTTCTTTCTATTCATAACAGCCAAATATGTATTTTTAGGTATCATGAATTAAGATATTAAAAGTTTGGTTTCCAGATAGTTTTAGAGAACTATTTCTATAAATGCATTAAATCATTCATTCAGATGATATTTTGCCTAAGATTAAAATTTCCAAGATAAATCTTGGTATAATAGAAATGTTGTATAGTGTGATATAAGCTTATCAAATGGGATGTGACTGAATATGCATAAAGCTAGTGAGAATTGAGTGAAACAGGCAAATTCACACATGCTCTGGGGGATATATTGATGCACCTGTTTTGGAAGACAATTTGGTGGTAATAAACAACAAGAGATTTTTTTTAATGTTCTATTTGTTCTAAAGGAATAGTTTGATATATGGAATAATTTAAATGCCTAATAATTGGGACATGGGTAAATTTTATAAAGCTTGGCACAAGCATGCACCTGAGTATTATGTAGCCATTCACATTTATGATTTTGAAGACTTCTTGATAATGTGAGAACAAACTTTGTTATATTAAGACAAAAATGGAATTCTGAATTTTAAATACTCTGTGATCACACCTATATGAAAAATATGCATGAAAAAAAGACAAGAAGGAAATATATCCAAATTTTAATAATAGCTGTTTTGGGATAGTAATATTGTGGGTAATTTTTTTCTGCTTTATTCACTCCCATATTTTCCAAATTTTAAGTCATGGGACTGCATTACTTTGGTAACTGGAAAGGGGGAACTCTTTCCACATGTAAGAGTTTTGTAATGTAATAATTGTATTTCTTCGTGACGCCTTTAGCCATAAATATTTTTTACGTGTAGATTTTGAGCTGGTGAATTATAAGTTTAAAAATCAACTTATTTTATTACTCTGTTATTAATATGTAATGTGTTGGCTTTATTTTAAGATGTACATTCATCAAATTTTGTGTTATCCATTTTTATACTCTTTTCTTGCATGTCCATATCTTAAGCCTTTTCTTACTCCAATAACAAACCATATTATTTTATTATCTAACATAACTTCCTAGTTCCATGGAACTTGCTAGAACTTGTGTTGGAACACCATACTACCTGTCCCCAGAGATCTGTCAGAATAAACCCTACAACAATAAAACGTGAGTTGCCGATGACTGTGTGTGAAAGTCTCAGTAAAGCGGGTGGATTCTCTCTTTCTCATGGTACTTTCATAATTTCATATTTTCTTCACGTGTGAAAAGGGGATTGCAGTCACTGTCTCCAACCACTTCAGAGTCCCCTGAAGCTTTTGAATGTATTTAGAAGAAAAACATTTCATTTGAAGATACAAGTGATAAAAAGACTAACATTGAAAATTGCAGTCTCTGTGATGTGCATCTGTTTGATTTTCATACCTTCCGAACACTATTTAGCCTCACACAGGAAAGTGTTGTGGCTGGGTCAGAGAGAAGGCAGCGAGGGTGCTGGATTAGGAGCGAGGAACCCTAGTCTTGGCCCTGCCACCATCTCAACCCTGCCGGTTGACCGCTGTGGGCCTCAGTTTCCCTAGCTGTAACAAAGAGAATGTTGGCGAGGCAATTGTTAAGGTATTTCCAGCTTTAAAACCCAACTAGTTTTGTGTATGGGATACCAGAGCCTACCCTTCTGGAATAATACTAACATGCACAAGAGTAAAAGGTGAACATGAAGTAGTTTTTACTTCCAGGTAAGGAGAAGCAGAAAAAAACTCACTTTTCGCAAAAGCTGGCGGCTGGTTGAACTAGTTGGTTTAGCAGGAAGACTGAGTTCCTTCAGGGAGTTAATTTTCCCTTTGTTTTGGAAAATACTCAAGGGGTATTTGGCTGTTTGACTTTGCAAGAGATAAGTGGAGGGCGGAGCCCAGATGGGAGAGATTTCTAGAAAGAATAGTAGATACTTCTCTGCATAATAGAAAAACAGGCTTGCTTTTTTTTTTTTTTTTTTTTTTTTTTTTTTTTGGAATAGCCTGTAATACCAAGAAGGGATTTGGCCTCCAGTTGAGCAGGAATGCAGCTGGTGGAGCCTGGGTGGAAGGTGTGACTGTCCAGAGAAGCACCCTGGGTCAGCAGCATTGTTTTGTACTGCTTTGTAAAAAATTGGAGTCAACATTTAAATGTGCTGATTTGGTGCTTTCGATAATTGTAAGATCTTAGCAATAATCAGCTGGGGAGCTGCTGTAGAGCAGGAAACAGGTTCCTGGTTCAACGCAGCCCCCACCACACACAGGGCAGGGCCCTAGAAGACTCAGAAAAGGTTCCACCCAGCCCGGGGTGGTTGCACTCTCTGTTGGGACCACACTGGCTGGCTATAGGGGGTGCTCTGGGACAGGGGAGGATGTGGGCCCAGGGAACACCCCGTGAAGATAAAATTCTGTGTGGTCCTCAGAAGTGGTCTGTGAGTTCCTAGAAACTCTTAGAAAAACACTAGAAAGCAGTTGGAAGTTGTTTCCTACCTATTCTGGAATCACTCTTCATTTCCTCAAGCCTTCAGGATGTCTCCCTCTGCTCCTCCTGGGCACACTCAGAGGAAGTGTTGCTAAACAGTGGAACCATTTTCCTCGCTTTACCAAATCCTTGTTTTGACTGTTTCAGTTCTCACTGTATTTTCTTTGGTGTTTTAGATTTAATGATGCTTTTCCTGTAAGGTAACTCCTTACTAAACTAATCACATATAAATACTAAGTACTAAAGAGCAAGTCTCTAGTCATCTATTGCAAGCACCATATTCAAGTTTATTGAGGGCCAGATACTATGTCATCACTTAATAGAACTTTGGTTCTGTCAGTAGCCTTGAGTAGAACATACCTTCCTAAATCAACCAAATTTTACCCTTTGAATCAAAACCAATCTGTGTTTGAGTCCCGCCAGCTTCCTCCAGATTGCTCAGAATTCCATACAGACACACATTTCCTCTGAGCACATGAAGCTGAGGTAAATACTGAGCCCTCAGATTGTAGCAAAGTTTGTATACCTTTTCTCTGCTATGATTCTGACAAACTATGCACTGTTTCGATTTGACCTCTTACCTTAGTAGGACTAAGAATTGAAAATGTATCTGAAAGCATTTGTAAAAAACTGGTCAACCTATAAAATTGTCAAGATACACAAATATAAGGCACTGTAAGGATAAAGGCTTTAATTGAGAATTATGGATATTTCTTGGCATGTGAACTCTTATCTTCCCCAGGGATATTTGGTCTCTTGGCTGTGTCTTGTATGAGCTTTGCACACTCAAGCATCCTGTAAGTATGTTAATCATCAGATTAATCTTGAATTATTGAAACTATAAAAGTGAAATAACTTTTGAGAGGAAAAAGGTTAATGTTTGGAGTTATTAGGTTGTTAAAAATTACATGCACAAACTATTAAGATGAACGATCGATCCATATATATCGACATGGAAAGATGTGCAACTTGTAAAGTAAAATACCCAAGTTAAAGAATAGTATATGTAGCATATTTTCATTAAAAATAAATTGTGCATGAATATATAATCAGCAAAGGGAAAAGGTGCATGGGATGAAGTCCGTAGGAAACCAGGCACAAGCTTCTAAGACCCTCTCCCAATGCAGTCATGCAGGAATCATGCTAATTTCTCCAGCAACAAGTAGTGACAGCACGTGTGAAATGTTATCAACCAGGGAAACTCCTTAGAGACCCAGTGCTCAGGGTTTTGATGTGGGACTGGTCATGTGGGCACCCTATGGCTGGCAGGTACCAAGCTTCCAGACTCCTAGGAAGAAAGCAGGTGTTCAGCATAAACCATATTGTTTGCCAATGTAGGTAAAGAGAGCCACTCTGAACATTTAGGGAGTGGTGGGAACTCTCCAGAAATGTGAGTTCCCTGATGCCAGCCAAGGGCCAATATGGTAAACAGGCTTTTCTAAGGAGAGCACTCTTAAAGAGTTTAAGAACTCTTTTCTACACAGCTGTTATTATTATTATTAATTATTATTATTCTCAAAGGTCAGACAGCTAGTAAGTGCCTAACCAAACCTGATCTTCACTGCCACACAGTGCCGCTGAGCTTTATGCTTATGTGTAAACCCATGGCTTCATACAGTGGAAGATTTTCTGGTTATGAAGAATTTTTGCGGAAATGTTTATGCTGTGTTAATTTAGAAAGCAAGGTGCAAAGTTTCATATTATTATGACCTTAACTCTGTAAACATTATTTTACTTTTTTTTTTAAATGTAAGCTCTATGTCCAATGTGGGGCTTGAACTCACAACCCCAAGATCAAGCATTGCATGCTCTACCCACTGAGCCAGCCAGGCGCCCCAGTAAACATTATTTTTAAAGAGACTAGAAGGAAATATACCCCTGGCTGACAAAATTACATGTATTTGCCCTGTTTGTAGCTTCCTCTATCTTCCAGTTTTTTATAATGAATAAATATTATTTTGATAAGAAAAAACAAAAACTAAAAAAACCTTGTTTTATATAACATGGCATCACATTGTGTAACAGCCTATAATATCTACTAATGAAATATTAATTGATGAAAACCATTTAGGGTGGACCATAGTACTTCTTACTGAGGCTTTAAAACATTGTTTTTTGGTTTCGCTTTGTTTTGTTTTGAGATTCAAATTCCACTTTTTTAATTTAAAAAGTCCAACTTGAGCAAAAGCAAAACGGCTGCTTCCACAAGGGTCCCTCAGCTGGACCAGGGAAGGGTGGTCATTACCAGCCCCCCCCAGTCCTGGGGTGCCAAAATCTGAGGGTGACAGGCAGAGGGCCCCGGCCCCAAGTGTGGCAGCCCTTGTGGTGAGCACCTGTTTTGTTTCTTGATACTACTTTACAAGCTAATATTCAATGTTTTCTCTGATTTAGTATCATCATTCCTTGTCCTTTCAGTTTGAGGGTAACAACTTACACCAGCTGGTTCTGAGGATTTGTCAAGCACATTTTGCCCCGATATCACCAAGGTTCTCCCGTGACCTGCAGGCCTTGATATCTCAGCTCTTTGAAGTATCTCCCCGAGATCGGCCGTCTATTAATTCCATTTTGAAAAGGCCCTTTTTAGAGAACCTTATTGCCAAATACTTGACTCCCGAGGTGAGCTTTGGGGTGATTACATGTGGATTTTGACAGAGATTTTGGTTAGCAGGTCCTTGACACATGTGTTCCATCTTAGGTCATTCAGGAGGACTTCAGTCACAGCCTCACACATAAAGCAAGACCGTTGGCTTCTCAGCCTGCAGGGAAGTGGGTGCAAGGTAAGAATGATTTGACCACATGATCAAAAAACATTTCTTACGTGTGTCTCATATACATGTGTCCTGAGATCAAGCCCTGCATGGGGCTCTGCACTCAGCAGGGAGTCTACTTAAGATTCTCTCTCTCCCTCTCCCTCTCCCCCTCCCTTTCTGCTCTCTTTCTCTCAAAAAAAAAAAAAAAAAAAGAGCTTGCTCACACATTTCACCCAACAGTGCAGCCTGAGTGGTGTGGTCTGTAACCCATGCGATGATCACTACATGTAGTTACTTGGGCCATTATGCATCCTTTCTCTGTAAATGTTAGCGTTAATCCCTAATTTTTTACAGGTAGTGTTATATATACTAGAAATATGTGAAGGAACCCTGGTTAAAATGGTTTTCTCCATTAAAAGACAACACAGACTAGTTTTCCACAGGGACTTCTCTCACTGGGTCCAGACATCTTGGGATAAAGCGAACTTCCTGTGTCGTGAGAGGTCCCTTATGTTCGCACTCTCACAAGCATCCATGTTAAGATGTGGACATTTTAAAGAAACCTGAAGTTGTTTTATTTTGGTTAAATAAGATTCTACGATACAGAAAGTGAGATTCCAGGGAAAGTGCCTACCAAGATCAAGGCCATCAGAGCCACTTAAAAGGAAGGAGATATTGTATAGAAATGAATGGATCCCACCAGCTGGAGCTCGGAAGCCTGTACCTGTAAGTCGTACTGAACTCTTTCTCTGATTTGTTAGCAGGTGGCCTGTCCCACAGACCTACTTGCACATGTTCCTAGGGTACAAGCCCATTACTTTGGAAAATGCTAGCTTTGTGCTTATGAGCAAAATCATTCTGTAATGAGCATTAAAGTGGTACTTCACTGGACAACTTCTAGTTGTATTTCCTTATAAGTATTCTATGTACTAGTTTTAGTTTTCCTTTTACAACTCAAAACCTTTTGATTTCTTTAAAGAAATAAGGTTTTTCTATATAGAATAAGTGAGTTGTATGGCAGCAGAAAACATGGTGCATTTCATTCCCTTAATTTTAACATGGTATATATAATTGAGAAATTTTTATTATATAGTCAATAATTTTTTTCCTAGAGATTCTTTAGGCTTAGTTATCTGAATCCACGTCAGCAGAGTGTTGAACCTTTTAGTTCATGCTAGTGGAATGCTTCTGGTATATAAATGATAAAATGGCTATTGCCTTTTAATTGAAGAATTGTATTTTTTAAAGAAAGCTATGCTTGTATAATTAAAGGACCATTTGGAGGTACGTTTACTAAGTGTTTACTCGCTATATAGACAATTTAGAAAATGTGGGGGTGTATAGATAGATTTTGAAACTATTAGTTAAATTATTGCCCTTCATTTGATAGAATGTGGTTTAACTTACATTAAAGAAACATGAAAGTCAGGGGCCCTGGCTGGCTCAGTTAGAAAAGCATGGGAGTCTTGATCTTGGGGTTGTGAGTTTGAGCCCCAGGTTGGGTCTAGAGATCACTACAAAAATAAATAAATAAATAAATAAATAAATAAACTTAAAAAAAAATTAAATGTATGTTGTGATTTAGAATACCCTATAGCAGACTGGTAGGAGAGAAAAAAACACCTAAAAGATTCAAGGATGGATTGAGTTAGGAGAACAAGTTGATGTTTTATGCAATGGAATGAATGGGTCTCCGCAGGAACCACCTCTGATGTTCTCATTACCATTTGGGATTTTACGAAAAATCTTAAAGAAGCTGTTAATTTCCTTCCAATACTTTTCTCTGTTTCTAGTCATTTTTCAACAAGTAATTAGTAGTACCTTGTTTGGGGTTGTATATAGGTTAAATTGCCAAACTAAGAAACATACATCACACTTTGAAATATTTTTTAAAATAAATATATAATTTATGTTTAGACTAACAAATCAAATTTTATACATTTACTTTAATATTTAAATAAAACTATGTGAAGTTACCATTTTTAAAAAAGATTGTTTTTATTTATTTAGAGAGCAAGCGTGAGCAGGGGGAGGGGAGAAGGGAGAAGGAGAGGGGAGGCTCCCTGCTGAGTGCAGAGCCCGATACGGGGCTTGATCTCACAACCCTGAGATCATGACCTGAAATGAAACCAAGAGTCAGATGCTTAACCGACGGAGCCACCCAGGTGCCCCTGAAGGTACCATTTTTTAAGTTAAAAATGATCCAATATCTACAATTCCATACGGTTCAACTAACATACGTAGGAACCACACAGCATTAAAAAGACAGAGAATATAGTGTGTTTCTTCTTCACAGTGAGGAAACTTCCGTTTAAACCATTTGTTTGGTTATTTATATTTCCAGCTACAAGTTCTAGGCCTTTCCTGTGGTTTGAACTTCTTTTTCTCTTTTGTTATCATCTGTTAAGTAGGCAGTTGTCCTGGTTAATGTTGAATTGGCCCTAGTTTGCTATTTAGCAACGGGGTCTTGGCTGGTTTTCATCTGTTAAGTTGGTCTGATTCTTGTCTCCTAGCTCAGTGGCCTCTACTGACAAACATTGGTTTCTGGTTCTCCTCCTGCCATTCTGTTTTGATTGGGAAGGGCGATGGGGTGTAGCTTGGGGCGATAGATGATACACTTGGCACAGCTGTTACGTGACCTTCCTTGTGTTTACTTGGGAAGAACGACTGAATGACTCAACATCTTCTTGCCTTCAAGTCAAGATGCCATTTTGGATTTAGTCAATTCATCAGCAACTAAAAATGTTACGAATCCCCAAATCTGTGACTTGTGCAATAACATTTATTCTCCCATAGAGTGCAGCAAGATGTAAAGAAGTTTATAAAAATAGAAAATAATAATAGTGAGTTTACTTTCAGAGCTTGGGTTGGGTAGGCACACTCCCTAGCTAAGCATTTTTGGTAGACCATCCATGAAGTATGCAGGATTCCTCTTCACACCTTAGTGAAATTATAAACTACTGTGCTACGGTAGGACTTAGACTTCTAACATATTTTCCAATTCTAGGATTTGGGGATCCTAAGATTATTTTACTCTGAAAAACCAGTCTAGAGCAAAAACAACAAAAATATACTTACAGTGCTTTGTTTTAGCTGTGGTCACTATCAAACTGTCAGTTATTATGGATTTTAATTGTGTGTCTTCAAAATCTTTCCTCTTCTTTTTGATCCTTCAGATAAAAATGGTAGAAAGGCCCAAACTTGCTGCAATGCATGGACATTATGACTATTATTATGCCCAACTTGACGTGTTGAGGAAGAGAGTGCACAAACCAACTTACCACTGTGTTCCTCAAAAAGATTCTGGAGTTGAGGAGAATTATAATCAGAAAGAAAGCCACAGTCCATCACCAGATCAATGGTAATGTTAGAGTCTAACTTAAACTTTGGTCCTCTGAAAATATCTTGATATAACAGCATTTATTCTGAAGCCCTCCCAATTCTCCTAAAGCAAATAATCCAAGAAGAACTTCCAAACTTTCCATCTTGAATACTTAATTCACAGTTCCCTTGACCCTGTTTCATCTCAAATCTAATGTAGCTTATCTTCTTATTCATGGAGCCATTGAACCATGAGCAGAAATTCATACTCCTGAATTTTTCCTGTTTTTTTCTTCCTTCTAGTAAATTCCACCATCTGGGAGGATGAAAATAGTTGTATATGTGTCATTTTCCAAAGAAATTATTAATATTAATCCATAATAAGTGAATTATAATCAAATTATCATTTGAGACATATTGAAAAGTGAAATACCTTTCATTTAGCATTTTTTTTCTTGGGATCTTTCATTTGTGTGCCAGTGTGAGGAATAGAGGTGAAGGAATGGGATACCATCTTGCTCTCAAGGAGCTCAGAGCATAGTGCGGGAAATGGACAAGCAACGGGGGTGTCAAGGCTAATAGTGCAGGAAATGGGCAAGCGACGGGCGTGTCAAGGCTATTGATCAGATACCTGCCCAAAGCGTGACAAGATTCTGGAAAGGGTTTTTCTTTTTCCCTCCAACACATTGTATGCAGACCATGGATGGACTGATCCGATCCTGAAGAAATATCACTGCATCAGAATATTTTTCTGTTTGATCCTCTCCTGTATCACCAATTGGTACAGTTCTCTTTGCTTCCTTTCTTCCTGATTCCCAAGTACGCATTCTATAACTTCGAACTACTTCTTGAATTCAGAACTTTCAAGCCACAGGTAAACTGTGAATCTCATTAAGAAATCTAATAAATAAATAAAATCTACTCCTTAAAATTGTGCCTAAGACTAGTAAAAATTCCTACTCAAGCTGGACATTTTTATTTTCTAAGGCCTGCTGAATACCTTCAGAGGAAATTTGAAGCTCAACAATATAAGTTAAAAGTGGAAAAGCAGTTGGTAAGTAAAATTCCAATTACTAAGGGCAATCAGGAATTTCCTGCTCACAAATACTCATGGGTCCTTAAGTCAAAGTGCATTCCACATAGAGGATGAAGACTACCCTTCACCTTCTACAGTTTTTAATAGCTTAAGAAGAATAATGGAAATGTGCCTGAATCACGGTCTGGGGGAAGCCGGGTTTCTTCCCTGGCTCTATCACTCGCTGTGTGACCTTAGGCAGGTCATATGACCTCTCTGAGCCTCAGTTTCCTTTTTATAAATGACAGTTTGGGGGTAGATGAGCTTCAAGGTCCCCTTCAGTGCTATAGTTCTTCGATTCTAATTTATTAGACTTCTATACATTTTTTTAAAGATTTTATTTATTTATTTGAGAGAGTGAAAGCGAGAGAGCTCAAGTAGGGTAAAGGGCAGAGGGAGAAGCAGACTCCCCACTGAGCAGGGAGCCCGATGTGGGGCTTGATACTGGGACCCTGGGATCATGACCTGAGCCGAAGGCAGCCACTTAACTGACTGAGCCACCCGGGCGCCCCGAGAATTCGATACACTTTTTTAAAGGTGACTATTGTATTTTATTTGAAATGAAAATTAACCTTTAAGTATAGTGGCAGAGTTGTGGGGCTGAAGGAGGCTGGATGTGCATCCTATTTCGGTCACTCTTATTTTGGGATGCTCAGAGGCTCTAGTTCTATTCTCCTACTTAACCTGATGCCCCAGGGTGGCTCAACTTTTATAGAACTTTAATTTCACAATTATAGTTGAACTGTTCAGAAAATGGATCGAGGTGTCTTACATGGTAGCGCAAAATATTGATTGCTAATGATAAACAACACAAATGGTTTTATTAATTTTCTTTGCTTTTTAAATGTGTCATACTGAAACTAAGAAAATTCTACTGCCCACTCCCCAGCAGTGAATTTGATTCACGATATAATTCTTGTTTAAAGAAAAAGACCCAAGGTCAAATGAGAAGACATTTGTTAATGCAAGTATGCTTCACAAATCATTTCATTCAATTGATAGGGTCTTCGTCCATCTTCTGCTGAGCCAAATCACAACTGGAGACAAAAGCTAAGAAGCAACAGAGAAGAGTCTCGATTCCAGGAGCTGCAGATCAGGAGAAACGAAATGAAGGAACAGGTTAGAAACAGTCTGATTCCAGATCTACCAGTGTCCCTGCATCCGTGTCTTTTGTGCGGCATAGGGTATTACTTATAGCATCGGCACTATGTCTGAGGGAGAGGCCTCTTGCACAATCCCTGGACACACTCATGTGGAGCTCCATGCTGGGAGTTTTAGCGGATACAGAGATTTGGATTTCACCTCCTCAGAGAATGCAGCAGAGCGAAGCTCATAAGGCTTTCGACCTCAGATTGATAATGTAATTGTCCACCATTACCATTTCTGAAATTTGTATTCATGTCCCGGGCTGCCTTACTTAACAAAGTATAACGGACTGGGGTGGTTTAAAACACCAGAAATGTATTGTCTCCCAGTTCTGGGGGCCAGAAGTCCAAAATGAAGGTGTCAGCTGGGCCATGTTTGCTCTGAAACCTGGAGGGGAATCATTTCCCTCTCGCCAGTCTTTGACATTCCTTGGCTTGAGGCTGCATGACTGCGCTCTTTGTCATCACGTGGCCTTCTCTCTGCATGTCCCTGCCTTCACGTGGCTGGCTTCTTACACCCGTGGTGTTGGATTAGGGCCCCATTCTACTCCAGTATGACCACATCTTAGCTACCTTTGCAATGACACTATCTCCAAACAAGGTCATGTTCTGAGGTACTGGGGGTTAGGAATCCAACATATCTTTTTTAGGGGGGGAACAAAGTTAAACCCATAAAAGTGGGCTATATAAAGTAATTGTATGTCACTGACACATTTTGGGTTATATATAAAAATGAGATCGCCCAAAGCCCCCCTCTCACTCACAGGGAGGGAAGTAGCCCAGCTGAAACGTAAGGCAGATTATCATCTTCAGGAACACTGGGTTTTCTAATTCTTACTGTTGATCACACATTCTTTAAATTCATAGGCTGTGTAGAGATTACTCTGTTCAGTTGTTCACCAGCATTTAAAACTTTTGAATTGGGATTGTCTTCCAGGAATATTGGAAGCAGTTAGAGGAAATTCGCCAACAGTACCACAATGACATGAAGGAAATTAGAAAGAAGATGGGGAGTGAACTGGAGGTGAATACATTTTGCTCCTAAAGGAAACATGGTTCTACTGATTTAGATCTAACTAAATTGAGCAGGTTTCAAAAGTAAGGCTCTCCTCATAGAAAAGATAAAATGTTATCATGCAAACTTTTAATAGGAAAGCTAACGTTTAACTGAAGCTTTTATTATTATTTACTTGAGACTACCCACGCTGGTGAGGACATCTGAGACTCTCCGTTAGGAATGGCTCTTATTAAAAATATTCATTGTCTTCCTTGTGAATCAGTCAATACTTATTGACAGAGCAGCTACTTTATACCAGAACTAGATTAGATGCAGAAAGTAAGTCCATGCCCCTAAGGGAGTGAAATGGATGAGCATTTATTGAGTTCAGCTATACTGGAGTAGCCTCATATGCAGGGGTAAGGTTCGAAAAGTCTGGATAAGGCCACGTTTGAGTGCAGTCAACTTGAAAAGTTGATTCTTGAAAATCCCTTAAAGGCACCACGTTGGAAACTCATCTTCCATCTCTCAGATCACTGCTTTTTCAGTAGAGCTCCAGCTGAGACAGCTGGCCTGGGTCTGTAGACCATGTTGCATGAAAAACACACGGATGTCTAACCGTAGCACCACCCTCATGCCCTGGAATGCTCCTCCTATAAGAGGCCTGTGGTTCTGAGGCCTGCTGAGGACGCGGCTGGCCTCCAGCTCACGGGCATGGTGTGAAATTACCCACACCGCTGGACTTGATTTCTTTCTCCCTCTCCCCCACCCCTGAGGGCACATAGATGAATTAATATGGGTGAAGGGAGCATAGGGTACAATTCAGCTGTACGTGCTCGGGCTCCGAACTAGAGTGCTCACATACTTTATCTCATCTTATTCCCCATGATAGGAAAGATAAATAATTCATCCAAAGTCACTTTGAGATTATGCGGCGGGACTAAACATCTGATTCTGAAACCCCTACTCTTTCTAACATATGCACTTCTACTCTCAGAGAGTTGGAAAGATACGACACACATGTATGAGCCATGATTAAGACTGAATGTAGTTAAGCTCTGTAAGGGCACAGGAGTAAGGATGAGCCAGGTGAGCGTTTTCATGGTCTAATCTGGTCTGAGAAGAGGAGCAGAGTTTGCAGAGACAGAGCTGAGGGGGAAGGCATTCTGCAGGAACCACGCAGAGGTCCACACAGGACTGGAGGCCCTGGAGCGGGGAAGGTGGGAGACAGTTCTCTCTAGAGCAGGGGATTGGTTAGTGGTGAGAGCCTTGTTTTTTAAGGCATGTCTGTGATGGGAAACCGGAGTCCGGGAAGAATGGATAGCAGACTTTTCTAGAGAGACCATGGAAGATGCACGTGGGGCATGCCGAGGGCAGCCACAGGGGAAAGGAGCTGGAAGGAAGGCACTGTTCCAGCCATTTCCACTGATGGCGCCTTGGCAGTGGGAGGAGAGCGTTTCCTCACTAGAAATCCCACTCAGAACTGGCCACGGTCCACACTGTGGACTTCAGAACCCACTCAGAACCAATCCGATTGACTGTGTATAATTTGTACTTTTAGGAGGACTCACAAATAAGTCATAAAACCTATGTAGTGAAGAAAAGTGACCTGCCCGTCCACCAAGAGGCACCTGAGGAAAAAGCGCCTGTGCAGGTGACGGTTATTATGTGATGATAATGGGTTTCCCAGCGAGCTGGCTCTAGCCTGGACGTTCTCAGCCCTCACCGTGCAGGGGAGCCGTGGGCGAAAGTTCTTAAAAACTCAGATGCCTGGGCTCTACCCCAAATGGCCTGGAGTGGGGCCCAGGCATCCTGTTTGCAGCACTTGGCTGGGTGGTTCGGTGTGCAACCCAGTTTGAGCCCTGCTCTTGTGCGCGTTTGAGAGTTCAGCGTTCTGGATGGTGTTCAAGTCAGGGTCTCAGACACATGGGTCAGAAATCTGATGGTTAACGTCTTTCTACTTCAACCTTGCATTTTTGGTGGGAGGAGGGAACTGGGCAGAGATGAATTATCAAATGGCTCTCAAGGAGTTTTGTTTTTTTTTTCCCTTTTGGGAGGTCTTTCACCTTTATCTTCAAGGTGCCATGAGGGCTTGGTTAAGGGCAGGTGAGGGGGAACCCATGTTGGGTGAAGACCGAAAGTTTTTTGCCTTGTGAAAGACCCTGGAACCTTCCATGATGTGATGCCGGGGAGCTCTAAAGTGGACTGAGTAGGGGAGATGGGGCTCCCGAGTCTAAGATGGGTGTATTTTAAGGAAAATAGAGAAATGGGACACTTCTACAATTGAGACAACCAGACTACACAATCCAATCAGACAGCCAACTTCACAAAGAAAGTAAGATACAAAAGTCACAGTCCTGTTTCAGAGTTCATGATATTGCAAGGCAGAAAAACACCCTTCCCAGGGTTGCAGGGCAAACAGGTAATAGTCAAGCCAACACATCCTGTGTGTGAAGTACCTACAGACGAGGCAGCAATTAATTCTAAGGGAGAGATGATAGAGACCTCGTGTAAAATGGTGGAGAGAAGAAAGCATTAAAACACACACACACACACCGTGGAGACTCATATGCTTCTGGCTGGAAAGGGGTGGTACCATTTACTACAGCCTGGGTAGAGTGGGGAGCAAGCCTGTGGTGGGGGGCAATCAAGAGTACCACTTCGGACATCAGTTGAGTTCGAGAAAATCTGAGGGCTTCCATGCCTCCTTCACTGCTCCCCCAGCACAGAACATGCTTTCCCCAGACCTTCATATATGCAAGGTGCAACATCATTGCAGGGTTTATGCCAAATGCCGACATAGGCTGTTCCTGCATTACTCTCATCCCCAGCTCATCTTCTGTGCTGTTACCCTACTTTATTTCCTTTCAGCACTTAGTACTTTCTGAAGTTATGTTGTTAATTTACCTCATGGATTACCTATTTTATTCCAGTAAAATGTAAGTTCTGTGTCAGCAGGGACCTTTGGGCACATTCACTGCATTAACACATTGTGCAGGACAGCGGCCCATGGTGGGTGCTCAGTATGAATTTGTGGACTGAATGTCGAAGTAAAGATGATGCTAAGTAAGCCGCGGAGTATGTGAGCCTGTAGCTCAGAGGGGAGGAAAGAGCAAACCTGGAGATACACATTTCAGAGTCCCTGCGTAAAGGTGGTGCTTATATCCGCTGAGGAAGACAGGGCCAGAGGGCCCAGGACCGGACGCTGAAAAAGCTCAGAACTTACAGCCCCTTTGACACTCTTGCCATCTACTTTCAGTCATCTCTTCTTTGAAATTGCCTGTCAATTTTTTGAGCCCTCTCCTTCCTTTTTACTATCATGAGCAGTGCACTTTTCTTGTTTTCCTGATTACCGTCGTAAGCCTCTTAAGGGAGGGATCCTGTAGCCAAAATTGCATTCTTACATAAGTAAAATCTTTAAAAAAAAGCGGGGGTGGGGGGAGACTCCTGGGTGGCTCAGTTGGTTAAGCATCTGCCTTCGACTCAGGTCGCGATCCTAGGGTCCCTGCTCAGTGGGGGGTCTGCTCTTCCCTCTGCCCCTCTTTGCTTCGAGTTCACTCTCTCTCTCTCTCTCTCTCTCTCTCAAATAAATAAGTAAAGTCTTCAAAACGTTCTTGAATTAGATTAGATTGTACTGGACCAGAGTGACAAGCACTGTCATATTATGGAATTTTCCCCACTGCAATGCCACTGTTCAGTGTATTAATATTTCAAGTTAATGGGTGCTGTGTCCAAGTTTGTAGTGAGTTTTTAGTGAATTATTATTAACTTTCCTTTACCAAGGCATGTTTTTATTCTCCAATTAATCATGGGATTCAATCCAGAAGTCAAATAATATAAACAGACCATGCTGTGAATTCAGGGATTGTGAAACTATAATTGTTTGATCGATATTAAATGCTAGATATTAATTTGTCTCTAAACTTGCAGGACATTGAAAGAGACTTGAAACAAATTAGAGTTCAGAACATAAAGGAAAGTAAAATTCTAGAACAAAACTGTAAAGCCAAGGTAATAAACATTTTGTCTTACAGTGTCATATTAACCGGCTCGCCGGGGGGTCCCCACCTTGCAATCTGGGTTGCCTACAGGATTCCCCCCCCCCCGCTATTTTATGGACTTGCCTAATTTTGCGATGTTTGATGAATGGTTTTAAGTATCTGTAATGTCAAATAGGAGTCGTGATTTTAACATTTTTATTGGATTGCTAAACTGACATTATTTTCCTTCCTTTCTTCTAGAGAGGGGTGAAGTTTGAAATTAGTTTAAACCAATGTATTTCTGATGAAAACACCCTCCAAGAGGAAGAGGTATGCCATTAAATATTTATTTCCATTAACAGATACAAGAAAAATGAGTGTCTTAATAGCACATTTAATGAAATTTTTCCATAGGTCATAGGGAGAGTTTTCTTAAATCTTCCTAGAAGGATCTCTGGGGTTCAAGCGCGTCTCCCAAAATGCTTTTTTACCCTCCCACTCTTTTTTCATTGAGATCCTTCCCTTAGGAAGGGAAAAAGGAAAGGAAAAAAAATTTATTTTTCTCTTATGAAGGAGTTATTTTCCTCATAATATTAACTTTTTTGTCATTGCCAAATTAAAATAGGAGACTTAATTATAGTCAGCAACGAATATACTTACCTAAAAAATTGAGCAGATACCCTGAAACCATGCACATTTATTTTAGGTCTTAATCAGGTATTGGTAACTTTGTGCAGGTCTTTGGGTGAATCTCAATTATGCACTCAGGCTCTCACTGACACAGTGACAAATGCACAAATAAAACTCAAACCTCATTTTATTACTTGTATTCAACATCTTCTTTAATCCCACTTTTTACCAGACCTGCTAACAAATATCAAAATCAACTGATTTGTGTTTCCATTTCACCTTCTCTAACTTTGCCTTTTAAATGACCAAAAGTTATGTGTGTGGACATATAAGTTCTGTATCACATCTGATACGCAATTTCTTTCTTTCATGTTCTTCATTAGCTGAAAAATGTTTAATGTTATCATTTCTTTCAGATTTTTTGTTTTGAATAGACTTCATGTTTTAAAGCAGTTTTGAGTTCATGGCAAAAATGAGCAGAAGGTACAGAGATTTCCCGTCTATTCCTGGTCCCCTTACATGCACAGCCTCTCCCCACTGGGGTGGAACATTTGTTACAACTGATACACTCAGACAGACACATCATAATCAACCAAGCCCACAGTTCACATTAGGTTTCACTCTTGGTTGTGTACATTCTATGGGTTTTGACGTAACGACCCATATCCATCATTATGGTACCACATAGAATAGTTTCACGGGCCTAAAAATCCTCTGTGCTCTCCTTACCTTTGAGATTTTTCCTACCATTTTGTCACATAGAGACTTCTTAGAGTGGTGACTGTTAACTCTCACCTCTTTAAGCATTAGGCATCTTAGTGTCCCAGAACTAGGAGGATCAGAGGGGGCTCGTTTCTGGGTTGGAGTGGTACATCTACAGTGCTCCTGTCAAGTCAGGTGCTGAGGTTGGCCTGGTAGTATAAAGGGATGGAGTCAAAAAGTTTTATCTGCCATGGTGTTCACCCTTTGTTATTCAATGCTTTGATGTGCTTGAAACAGAGTGATCATTTAAATATTGATTATGGGGTGTAAGAGTAGTTTTAGGGACCCGTATTGGGAACATTGTGCACCTAAAGCAAGGCGTGGACAAGATAACCTTGAGAGTTCTGTAGAATGGAACCTCAGGAGAATAATATCGAAGGCAGCAAGTCTGGATAAAATCAAGTTGCCATATGATCAGTGCTTGTCACTGTTGACAAGGAGAAGAAACACACTCCTGTTTCTGTCTTGTTCCGACATAGTTCCAATTTTAAAATGCTATAATTTATTTGTTTAATATACGTATACTGAATACTTACCATATGCCTTGGGAAATGTTATTACTGGAAACACGAAAAATTTTTTTGACATATTTTTTCCTCAAAATATGGCTCGCCGTGAAACACTGTGGCATTGCCTTAGGCAATGGATGTGCAAAATAAAACTCTGACCTTTGAGCATGGCATGAAGCTTAAGGAATATAAGTGCGTGAAGGAGTATGAAGATTATACAGACAAAGCATTTGAAGAACTCTGTTGCCCAGAAGCAGGTACGTGTCGTGCCCCTTGAAAGCCGGAGATAGAAGGGGTGTTTTATCAGCAGTCCGTCACAGTCCCCGTCCTCACTGGCCGGCAATGCCGTTGTCCTGGAGCTGGGCAGAGCCCCGGCTCTGCCGCCTGAGACCCGGCCGCGTGTTCTTGCCCTGTGCTGTCTCCTTGGGCAGTCGCCCCCAGCCAGTACCCCCACGCCAGCCACTTTTCTCGTTATCTGCTGGAAGGTTCCACGGACTTGTCCCACTAGCCTCGCAGACTCAGCATTTGTCCGGTTGAATTTCAGAGCTCTTCCTTCCCAGTGAGCAGCCTGGCGGGCTCTCCCCTGAGATGCTGCTGGAGTTTTCCTCCCCGTTCCCTCTGCCACTGGTTTCGGGCCCGGTCATCTCAGAGCAGTGGGGTTGAGGTAGTGAGTGCTGGGACTTTGGAGGCCCACAGGAGTCTGGATCCCAGCTGGCGCTGCCGCCTTCTGATTGGGTGACCTTTCACAAGTGACTACAGTGCTCTGAATCTCTGCTTCCTGTAGGAACGGGGATAATAGTACTTGCCACACAGGCTTACTGGGGGCACTAAAGTGAAATTTGATATATAACTATCTGGCACATGGTAGGTGCTTAATAAATGCTATTTCTAACTTGCCCCCCCCCTTTCTTTTGCCTCTTGCCGTACTGCCTTATTCTCCTATGTGTTCTTCTTTTCTCTAGTATCTCCCCCTTCATTCTCTAAGTGGCTGCTGGAGATTTCTTGTTGTATTTTTGGGTAATGCCTGCAGGATTCCCCATTGTCCATTCCACATAGTATCCTATTTAACACTGTGGGGCCTGATCTTGTTGTGAGCCACCTTTCCTGCCCCAGCACCCCTCTTTCCTACCACTGATGATGGGATCCAGACAGCCTCCTGGAGCACCCCCCTCTCTCTTATAGCTGCGTGAGCATTTGCACACCTTGGCTTGGCTCAGTTTCTTCTTCCTGGAATAATACATCTCACCTCATTTCCATCTGGAAAAACCTTTGGTTCAGCAGGCATCTTAGTGAGAACCTCCCATGTGCACAGACTGTGCCAGGTGCTAGGGATCTCAAAGATGAATGCAAAGGGGGTCCGCCCTCAACATCCCCGTGGTGTCGCGAGCCGAAGAGAGGAGGCACAAAACATGTTTTCTGAGCCCACACACTAATCATCGTCAGAGCGCCGGCTGGCTAGAGTCAGGAAGGTACCCACTCCTACAGAGCTTGGCATGCTCAGGAGCTGGGGCTTTATCCTGCGTGGTGACCTTCAGTCGAAGGGAATTAACTCCTCTCTGTGGCGGAGACAGATCATGCTGGCTGCAGCGTCAGGAGGGTGTGGGGCAGCGGGGCTGCGGGCAGGAGGAGAGCGGCCCAGGTGGGAGACGACAGGCGCTCCGGCCAGAGCAGTGCGGTGGGAACAGACACGCAGTGCGAACCACTGAGTGTGGGGGTTGAGGACGAGAAGGAGGTTAAAGACCCTCCTAGTTTTAGGAGCGTCCTAATTCAGATGGATGAAGCTGTCACCAACCAAACAGGCACACATAGCACGCAGAGGGAGGTGAGAGGACATAGTATAACGCTCTAGATTTGGGACATGTTGGCGTTCAGGTCTTTATGAGCCTCAGCGGGAGATGCTTAGAAGTTGCTAGCTGCGTGAGAAAGAAGCTCTGGAGCAAATCAGGGTTTCCTTAGCATACACAAGGTATTATCACAATCACCTTAGCGATGGTCAAAAATTCCTAGGCAGAGGGACTAGGGTGAGAAGGAAACGAAGCTTAGGACAGACCTTAGCAATGTTTAGACAAGGTTTGGGGAAATCCGGAGAGAGCAGAGCCAAAGGAGGAGGGAAAGTTCTAGAAGGAGGGTGCAGGGTTGGCAGCATCAACCGGAAGAGAAAGGCCAAGTGAGGTGGGTTAAGTAACAGCCTACAGATTTGGTCACAAGGAGCCCTTAGTGGCCTGAGCGAAAGTTCCAGTGAAAGTGATGAATTCCAAAGTTATTCTTTGTGTAAATTTGCTGGGAAAAGGAGATCATGAGTTGTAGGTCTCAAAAGACATAGCTGCTCTTTTTTTTTTTTTCTAGATTAAAACGAGTTCAGTTTCATACCGAAAATTGTCTTTTAACTTGTCTGCATTCCTATAATTATAGTTCAGGTTGAAAAAATTTTCCATAGGTTTTGACCATCCATATGTCTCTTGTGAATTATGTGCTCTTATCCTTCATCCCTTTATCCACTGAAAATGGCATTTAGTTTTTCCTTTATAAGACTCTTTAGGTTAAGGCTTTACCTGTAATATGTATTACAAGTATTTTTGTCATTTGGTTTTTGGATCTCATCTCTAGTAACAGCAGCAAGTGTATGTGTGTGTGTGTGTGTGTGTGTGTGTGTACATATATAATTTAGGAATAAACTTTATGAGGATTATGCAGAGCATGTGAAGAATACTATAAAACTTACTGAAGTATTTAAAGATCACTCGAATAAATGGGGAGAAATAACATTGTTATATATTAGAAATATTCTTTCTAAATAAATATATGGAATTTCGCCAGTTTCGATCAAAATCATCAAAGCCACAAAAAGATGGCGACATCTTGGCAGACTGGAGAATCTTAGAGACTCTTAAGCAGACAAATTTAGAAAAGAAGAGCAGTAAAGGGGCACATACACTTTCAAATATCAAAATATATTCTATTATTCTGCAAATTATAAAATAATATGATACTAGCACCAGAACAGACAAAGCAGTGAAAAGAAGAAATAGTTTAGAAACAAACCCTAGGATGGATGATAATTCAGTGTATGCTGAAAGTTACATCACAAGTCAGGGGGAAAGAAGGGCTCCATCAAATAAATGCTGCTAGGCCAATTGGTTAACAATTTGGGAAAATTGTGAAATCAGACCCTATTTAATGATACAACAAAATAAATTTTTAAAAAACCAAAGAGTTTATACATAAAAAATGAAGTTATATATTAGAAAATGAAGTAAAAGAACAATCAAAATCAAAAGGCAACCTATGGAATGGGAGAAGATATTTGCAAATGACTTACTTGATAAAGGGTTAGTCTCCAAAGTGTATAAAGAACTTATAAAACTCAACACCCCAAAAATGAAAAAGCCAATTTAAAAATGAGCAGAAGATGAAGTCCCAAGGCACATACTGCATGGAGCACTGGGTGTTATACGAAAACAATGAATCGTGGATCACTACATCAAAAACTAATGATGTATGGTGACTAACGTAACATAATAAAATAAAATTTTAAAAAAATAACAAAAAAATGAGCAGAAGACATGAATAGACATTTTTCCAAAGCAGACAGATGGCCAACAGACACATCAAAAGATGCTCATCATCACTGATCATCAGGAAATACAAATCAAAACTACAATGAGATATCATCTCACACCTGTCAGAATGGCTAAAACCAACAACATGAGAATCTTTGTATTGGCAAAGATGTGGAGAAAGGGAAACCCTCTTGCACTGTTGCTGGGAATACAAACTGGTGCAGCCACTCTGGAAAACAGTATGGAGGGTCCTCAAGAAGTTGAAAATAGAGCTACCCTCTGATCCAGCAATCGTACTACTAGGTATTTACCCAAAGAATACAAAAATACTAATTCAAAGAGAGACATGCACCCCAGTGTTTATAACAGCCTTATCTACAATAGCCAAGTGTCCATAGACTGATGAATGAATAAAGATATGGTATGTTTATATATACAATGGAATATCAGCCATCAAAAAGAATGAAATCTTGCCATTTGCAATGACATGGGTGGAGCTAGAGAGCATTTGCTAAGTGAAATAAATCAGTCAGAGAAAGACAAATATATGATTTCACTCATATGTGGAACTTAAGAAAGCAAATGAGCAATTAGAAAAAAAGAGAGAGAGAGAGAGGCAAACCAAGAAACAGAACTAAGAAACTATAGAGAACAAACTGATGGTCACCAGAGGGGAGGTGGGTGGGGGATGGGTGAAATAGGCGATGGGGATTAAAGAGGGCACTTGTGATGAGCACTGGGTGTGTAACTGCTGAATCACTATATTGCACACCTGAAACTAATATTACACTGTATGTTAACTAATTGGAATTTAAATAAAAACTAAAAAAAATGAAATAAAAGAAAATATAGGTGAGTTTGTGGGGTTTTTTTTTTTTTGGATAGGGAAGAACTAGCTATTCAAAATACATGGAACACAATCATGAGTAAATTAGTAATAGATTCCACTTTAGCAGTGAAAACCTTTGATGAAGCAAATAATACTAGCTCCTAGAATTGTCACCTTCAATAGTTTATCTAGGGTAAATAATCATGAATGTCCATAAACATTTAGCTGCAATGATTTCATTATAGTATTATTTGTAATAGTGAAAAATTGCTAGCAAACTAAACGTCCCACCATAAAGAATTAAATTATAATACATTTGTGTCACACAATACTGTATTTGCTTTACAATGGTTGTATAGAACAGTGGCTAATAAACTGGGTATGATAATGTTGCTCTTTGAAAAGAGCAAGTTATGAAAGTTATGCATGGTATAAGACCCATTTTTGTTTCAAAACAAAGACACTATATTCAAGGGGAAATTTTTGAAATTTTAATAGTCTCTAGATGGTGAGATTATGGGCGATTTTTATTTTCCTCTACTTATCTGATTTTCATATTTCCTATAATGAAACAATGTAATAAATAAAGGAAAAGCTTTTTAAAATTAAGATGACAGAACTGGGGGTGCCTCAGTGGCACAGCTGAGTGGCCGACTTTTAGTTTCCTGGCTCAGGTCTTACCTCAGGGTGGTGAGATCCAGCCCCGTGCTCAGCGTGCAGTCTGTTTGGGTTTCTCTCTCCCTCTCCCTCTACCACACCCCAGCACTCCCCCGCCCCACTCTGTCTCTCAAATAAATAAATAAATCTTAAAAAAAAGATAACAATTGATTGCATTTCTATGGAAACTGAAGTAAGATGCTCAGAGGTGCCTCAAGGAAGGTGTCCATTCTGGTCACTAATATTTGTTTACATTTAGATATATTACCTAGTCACTCAAATGTTAATAATAAAAACCAATTTTTAAGCCTGTTTATAATTTCAGTCTTGCAAGTTATGATCTAGTCTTAGTCCGTTTGTTTCGCTATAACAAAATGCCATTAACTCTGTGGCTTATAAACAACAAACATTTATTTCTCACAGTTCTGGAAACTGGAGAGTCCAAGATCATAGTGCTGACAGATTTGGTGTCTGGTGAGGGCCCACTGCCATGTTTTTGTTATGTCCTCACTTAGCAGAAAGGGTGAGGAGCTCTGTGGGGTCTCTTTTATAAGAGCACCAAGCCCATTCCCCGGGGCTCCACTCTCATGACCTCATCACCCCCCAGAGACCCCCACTACCTCCCAATACAGCACACTGGGCCGTAGGTTTCAACATAGGAATTTGGGGGGAGGTTGGACACAAGCATTCAGTCCATAACCATCAATATTCGAATGAGGTGGTAATTTCTCTGTTTTTGAGGGTACCCACAGATGGACTACCTCCAGATTTCCTAAGAACTGTTTGGTGCAATGAGATGCACTTTGACTGCTTGTAAATTAATGAGTTATTTTCTCATACCCAGAGTTGTTCATTCAAGATACTGGTGCCTCGGCAGAGAGCAGGAGACGGTGGGATGTGCCAGCTGCTCAGACTGTGCTAGAGATGATGACAGCAGGGGACATCACCTCCACCTGCACCCCTGTGCCCGAGGGTGAGTCTACACTCATTTCGGTCTGCGTTGCCAGCTGGGGGAGACCAGGCCTCGGATGCAGCTGTGTTGCTGGCGCTCACCCTGATGCCATCGTTCTCCTTTCAGTACAATCCCTATATAACTTTCCAAGATAATGTTTTGGTATCTCCCTCACCTCCTGAGAAACTTGCCTGCTAAGTATCCTAGACAACTGACCACTCCAGGTATGAGAATATAAAAGAGGAAAGATCTAGGATCCCACTGTCCTTGTGGTTGAAGGGGATTCTCTAAAGAAGGGCTGTTGGCTTGACTTGCCTTCCATGCTAACCCAATCACTTCCTTGGAATTCCTTGGAGGGGTTGGTTTTTTCCATGAATAAAATCCGGATTAAGATAATAACTATCCCGCAAGGTTTAGAGTTAGCAGGGCAAAAACGCATACAAAGTTGCTCTGTAAGCCAATGTGCTATTTTAAATGTTAAGAGTGTTAAGAATATGATGATATTTCCAACCCAAATTCCTCCGTTTACATTTGAGCTTCCGGCATAGTCTTTGCCCAAGAGAAGTTCACAGCAACATCTGGGTGTTATTTTTACAGGTGGTGAGGATTTTTATTACTTATTTCCTATGTTTCTCTTGATAACATGGGGCTGGGGGAGAGCTAAAATGTATACCCATTTTATAAATTGAAATATGTAAGTATATCACCGCCATTTATAAGTGTGTGAAATGACTTACATTTATACCATTATGGAACACTTAAGTCCCCAAACTTGCAAGAAAGGGCTTGCAAACATAACAATTTAATCTACTGTAAGCCAATGAGACAATAAGACCAATTTACAATAAGTAAGCAGAATAGAAAATTTAACACACTGAAGTGTTTACAAAGCAAGTCACTCTCATATCCATTAGCCATGTGACATAAGTCACTAAACCTTATCTCCGTTTTCTTGCTGGTTACACGAGGGGTGGGATTAGGTTACCTCCAAGGTTCTCACGTTTTGTGATTTTATAAGAAGTCAGACGAAGCATTTTTATTTTCAGTAACACAGTCTCCTCCTCAGGTGGCCAAGGGATGGTGACCGAAGGCATCCCAGAAAATAGGAGACGGTGGCAGCATGAAGTGCCAGGAGCTTTAATGAGCGCTTTGGCTGCAGCACGTCTAACAAGTAGCTCGTTTTCTGCCCACAAAGGCGAATTGGGTATGCAGTTTATTTTTAAGAACATAACCAGTCCCCTGAGGAATTTTGTCGGAGACTTGTAAATACAGAAAGGGGATAAAAATACCTTCAGCCTGGAGAGAGAGCTGGAAAGGGCTCAGCCTCTTCGGAAGCTGATTCGCTTTGTCCAAGCCTGTTCCAGATACCACTAACAAAAGCCTCAAGCTTCCCAGAAGAGTGGGGTAATTTTCTTTAATGGGATCAGTTGACAACTGATGAAAATAAGTAGGGCAAGTGGCTTTGTAGAAGGTAAGCAGGTACTACTTAGCTCTACCTGACGGTGTATTTCTGACAGCTATTCAACGGACTCAAATTACTCTTCCATAGGCAATGAAAATACATCATCGTAGAGTTTCTTGGTTTTGGGGAGGGTTTTTGTTTTTGTTTTTGTTTTGGTCTCTGACTTTTAGCGAGATGATGCTTGTGTTTACTTTATGGGAAGCCAGCCATCCTTTTCAAAAGTTTGCGGGAATTCACGTCCCAGGGGGAGTTTGTCTTTGGAAGGTGCAGGTGTGCACTGCTACAAGGAGGGTTGCCGTGGGCAGGCAGGTGGGGCAAAGGAGCACCTGTACAGGCACGCTTAGGGACCCGTGTTTCAGGAACGGGAGACTGAAGCGACAAGGAGGCAGAGATACAACCTGGGTGTAACGGAGGCTGGGAAGTACTTACAAAGCAAAGGAACGACACGAAAACATGTGCCACCCTGAGGATATTGTCAGAGAAGTGCCTGACGACTGCCCAAGAGTGAGTCTGCCAGCTTGTGAAGCCTAAACTTCACAATCGTTGTGAAATCCTTGTGAAAGTTGCGTCTTCCAAGAATGTCCAGAAGAATGAATGTATCAGGCGGGGAGGACTTGCAGATACACAGGCCTGTGGCAGACACTAAGAAAACCGGTTGGAGCAGGAGAGGGGGCCAGAGTCCCTGAGCATACGAAGTCCTTTGAAATCCTTTGGTCTTATGACTTCTATCAGTTATCACACTGTTGCTTAAAAGTTAAGAGGAGAGAGAGGGAGAAAGGGAGAAACTGCTCTTGAGACTCTCTTTCCAGTACCTTCAAATTACAAAAAGCAGTGTATTGTCTTTACTCCTTTCCCTTCTGTCCTGGGATGAAAGCCCTTGTCCCTAAGGATGGGGCTGGAGGCGGTAAGGAGGGAGCTTTGGGCGGACCGTGCTTGGCCTGGAAGCCAAGGGCTGGGATTCCAGGCCAGGTTATCAAGACACTGAGGTGGGGACATACTTGGTGGCTATGATGTTTCTTGCATTTGTCCCTGTGGTTCTTGGAGAGAGTCATAGAAAATTCTTCATTTGGTCTGTCATGCCCGATTAATTCATTCATGAGCTTGCCGTATTTTTACATGGATGGCTTTACATTGGGCATATCTGAGCAATTTATCTGTCAAGTGAGATTGGTAACAGGAATTTGCCTCCAAAGGTGCGTTCAAAGCAGAGTGTGGATGTTTTCTTTTACAACCTGCCAGGGTGCTGGCACCCCTCCCGCCCCAGCTGAACTCCGCCTCTAACTGTGGTTGGCCTTTTGACTTCCTGTCCCTGGTCATCTTTTCTTACTTGAGCTCTACCCTTTGCACCCCCGCTAGATAATCCTCCTAAAACGGACCAAATCTCCTTTCAGCTTAAAATCCTGCAAAAGATGCCCTCTTACCCTCAGGATAAAATCAGTCTCTCTGCAGACTCTGAGCACCTTGAAGATTGGCGTGACCCATGGCAAAGCCAGGCTTGCTAGCATTTCTCCACCAGCAGATAGTCCTCCCTCGGCTTAGAATGCCTGCCTCCTTTTGCCAGGATAATTGCTCCTGCAAGGTTTCCCTCTGACAAGCCTCCTCCCATTTCTGTCACTGTGTGTCATAGTGGGTGGTGAGGTGGTGAAGGGCAGGTACTCTTCTCTCCCTGCTTTTCCCTGTGCTACCCGATGGGGCTTTGTAAATGGGTCTGGAATGACGTCAATCCTTAAGTGTTCTTTTGCACGAATGAGTGGAAGACCCTGTAACTATATTAATATGCTTCTCTTTAATCCAAAAAATTCTAGGAAGTCCTCAAGTTTGTCTACTCTCTCCCTGCCTTTTCTGTTAGCTGCTTCTGACAATTTCATATTCAGTCTCACGCTCAAATTCATTCACGCTCCAATATTTGTTAAATGCGTGAAATAGTGACATTTTGTCACTATATTTATCATTTAAATTCATGTCATAAAAAGATGCGGTAGTGAGTTTATTTCAATTTTTAGTGATTGCTGTGAAAAACCTGGATCTCAGACTCTTGCCTGTGTCCCCACTGATGGGGAGCCTCTGTTTTAAACGATTAAGAAAGATCTGAGCATGTTTCCCTTGCATCCTCTAGGTTTGGCTTTGCTGCTTAATACCCCACAAGACACTGTAATTCTCTGATCATAAAAATAAGCTTCACTTTAATTTCTGATTCTCATTATCTTTCTTCCCCACTAGACTGTAGGCTTACGAGAGCTTTGTCTTGATTACCACCCTGTTTCGTCTCTCTCTCCCTAGTGCCTAGAACTTAGCAGGTGGCCATCGTCTTTATGAATGAACATAAAACCATAGCACGTTTTTAGGATTACTTTATGCAGAGGCATGTGATTACCAATATTCGTATTGCCATCAAGTTGGTAAGGGAAATTATAATGTGGAAAAATAATTCTTACGATTGTGTAGAGTCTTCTGAAGACTTCCTGTGTGTGTGAGTTTTAATAACTTTGATTGCAAGTATAATAGACACAGTTTATAAAGGCTTTCAAGGATTAGCTATGGTCATACATTTAAGCCTTATTCATATGTCCTTCATCACTGTTTAGCTTAAACTTCCAACTCCTTGAAAATAAATTGCTTTCATGCTTCGAGCCCTGCATTCCATTAAAAAGTGAAACTTTATCAACTACCTATTTAATTTATCCTAACTTTAAGTTTAAAATAGCAAGACTTTGTAAAATTCTTTTCAATGACTTTTACTAGTAAAAGCTACACTCTTGAGATAAGGACAAGTATTTTTTTTTTAACGTGTGCATAATTAATTCAGGTCAGTAATTTTGTTTACAGTTTAACCACTCCAAGGGGATCCTTGGTGGGAAGGTAACCTCCATTTTTCTTGTGTAAGTTTTCAGGCCACATGGTTGCCCTGGTAACATCATAGGTGCACATCCAGATAACAGCTGATTTACATTTCTATAGTTAGCTATTCATTCTTTCTTCTATCCTGTTAAACAAAAAAATAAAAGCCTCCTAAAATTGTCTTCCCAAAATAAGGAAACAAAAACTATGATTCCCACACCAAGTGGAATACTCAGGCTGCTATGAATTAGCCAGACTACCTCATCAATCAATTCATTTATTTTATAATACATTGTAGGGAATAATATAGGCTATGATTTGGGATGACACATATTGATTAAAAATGGGTAAATATTTAAGTACAGCGTGGTAAAATTTCTACTTGTAGGTATGTGCATGAATAGTCAGTTTACCAAAAAACAAACAAAAAATAGCCACACTTTGTTTTTAATTGCATCTTTGGAGAAAAGTTCCTATTTCTAATCCCACTTGTTAGCAGCGGGTAGGGATTTTTTTTCCTGGAGACTAACGTGAAACACAGTTTAGCCCCCTAGGAACCAGATGGTTGCAGAGTGCACGTGGGCGAGGCAGATTCTGGTAGGTTACCAAAATGAGCATAGTCCTTCACTCTTCCCTGTATCCCTGCCCTTTGTGATACAACTTCGCAGCTCCTCCACCATTAAATGGCTTCTTCCCCCTCCCCTTGAATCTCAACTGGCCTTTGTGATTTGTGTGCGTGAGGAGGATGGAATTGAAGCAGTGGTGTGCCAAATCTGAGTATTTAAGGAGCTTTTGCTTTTTTTTTTTTTTTGGAAACCTATCTCTCAACTAGCTCCAGCTGGCCTGCTATGAGAGACCATGTGGACAACAGAGACAAGCCATCCCAAGAGAGGCCACAGTAGACCAGCTAGCCTCCAGCTGGCCTGGCAAGTGACTGCACATGCATGACTGGGTCCAACCGAGACAGGAAGAGCCAGCCAGCTAAGCCCAGCCCAAACTGCCTAACGGCAGAATAGTGACCTCAATAAATGGTTACTGTTTTAAACCACTAAGCTATGTGGTGGTTTATTCCAAAAAAGCTAACTAACATAGACATGTGTAGCAAAATTCCCAAAGTGGGAGTCAAAAGTAGGCTAGACATAGACTATGTAGACATAGTTTTAAAGCCAACTTCAGAAGCCAGCATTATTAATTCTTTTGTGAACTCTTTTAGTTTTTGAGATTTTAAGAAAATCTGTCTCAACATCACTCTTGACTGCAAGGTTGAAGTTATGTAGGAAAAAACCAGACATATTCTCTGTTTTAATGGAAACAATTCACAGCCTTTACCTTCATGGTTGATGTCCAGTACAGGATTTGGGGTATATACCCCTCATCATGTGTATAGGCTGGGAGGCTTTAATCTCTCTGTTATTTCTTCAACAGTGGGAACATTAGAACAATGGCTTCCTAAAGAAGATGAGGGGAATATGGAAATGGCCTCTGGCATTGAAGTAGATGAGGAACAACCAAGATCTGACGATGACGATACGTAAGTAGGTCCTGTCCAGATACCTGAATGGAGCCCTGGTAGAGAGTTAAAAGGCTGTTGCTGAGATATGGACAATAGTCTTAGACTTGGCTGAGGAGACCAAGTTTTACTCACACAAGGGTTTGTTTCTGGGCTCTCTGTTCTTTCCCAATGGCATTGTTTCCTATCTCTGCACGAGTGATATGCTGTCCTAAATTACTGTGTCTTTACCATATCTTTTGGTATCTGGTAGGGCTAGTCCCATACCTGCTTCTAGTCTCCGTATCTTTTTCTTCAAAATTATCTTAGCTGTTGTTCCCCTTTACTTACCACATACATCTTTGCATTTTCTTGTAAAGGGTCATGAAAAACTTTGTTAGGATTTTGAGAATGACATTACATTTGTTGATTAATTTATAGGATTTGACATCTTTATGATCCTAAATCTGAACATCCATGAACATAGTATAGCTCTGCATCTCTTTATGTCTTTTAAAATATCCTTCAGCATTTTTGTAATTTTATTCACAATAGAGGTACCACTTAACTTGATTGTTGTTGCTATTGTCATTATTGATGGGGTTGTTTTTCTTTTACTGTGTTTCAACTTGGCGACTGCTAGCATATAGAACACTATTGATGTATCCTGTATCCTTACTGAACTCTTTTATTAGTTCTAAAATTTGGAGTCCTTTGAATTTTAAAAATTTTATAATTTACTTTTTAAATAGGTAATATACTCACATGGCTTCAAATTCAGAAGTTACACTCTTTTTATAGTCTGCTTGCTATCTCTTTACCTCAGCCACACAATTCCCCTTCCCAGAGTCAACCAGTCGAATATACCTCTTGTGCACACTTCTCCTGAGGAATTCCATTAAACTGTAAGCCAATATGTAGATCTTGTGTATGTGTGTATTCTTTTTCTTTTTTTATAGAAACAGTTTCATAGCGTACATGCTATCCTGCAGCTTCCTTTTATGACTTACCACTGTAGCCTGAATACCTATCATAATATACAAATAGTAGTATACATGCAGTTTAAATTCCCAGGAAAGCCAAGTATTAGGTCGAAGAGTTTGTACGTTTGTAACTGGATATTGTCAAGTTGTCCTTCACAGAGGTTACACCTATGAACACTTCCATTGACCGAGTGTGGAAGTGCCTGTCTCTTATTGTTTGCATATCCAAAATTGTTTTATTGTTTTAATTGTAATTTAGTTGGGTATACAATTTTGACAATGATTTTTCTCCTGATCTTTATTACTGTTGATGAGAAAACTGCTATCTAATTGTTTTCCCTCTAGAGATATGCTAACTTTCTCCCCAGCGCATCCGTAATGTTCTTTTTATCTTTATTTTCTTATGTTTCACTGTTGTATGTATGTCTGGGTCTGGACTTCTTTTTTATCCTGCTTGGCTCACTTTCTTCTGAGAACCCATGACTGTCTTTAGTTCTGGAAAATTTTTACCCATTACTTTTCCAAGTGTTGCTTTTCTTATTCTGTCCATTTTGGTCCTCCAAATAGATATGTTTTGGAGCGTCTCAATCTGTCCCCAATAACAACTAATTGTACTTTCATATTTTTTATTCATCGCTTTGTTCCATTCTAGGTGAATTCTTGAATACTATTTTCAAACCTATCTGGGTATCATCTGTTAAGTTTTTAATTTAAATGATTATATATCTCCTGTCTAAGATTTATATTTGTTTGTTCATGTTTTTATATGTTCTTGTTTCAGTGTTGCATAATTATTTCCACTAATTTGAAGACATTTTAAAATGGATGCTGTTCTTTAATTTACCTTTTTGAGCATACTTACTTTAAGAGTGTTATCAAAATCCTCCATAAAAGTAATTCCATCTAGACTTAGTTTCTGGTCCAACTTAAAAAAAAATTTCTTTTTGCCTATCCTTCTCTTACCATTAGATTTATTCATGTGTTTTGGAATTTTAGTTTACAGGATCATTTTGTTTTAGAAGTTTCATGTTTTGTTTTTAAATTTTCTTCCTTCCCTTTCTGTCTCTGTGCACCTCCTGCATATCTATCAGATTTTGTTTTCTTCGGTGTGTTCCCCTCCATTCTTGCTAGCTGGAGCCACTGAAGAGTTACACTTCAGTGCAAGGGTGATCTAGAAAAAAAATCTCAGTAATATGGCTTGTCTGTTTTGGCCCAATCTCTAGGAGAAGAATTTTTCCTGAGAAATTTATAACCATAGATTTGCCTTTACTTGGGTTTAGAATTTACAATACTTGGATGGTCTGGAAACATGTATATTGATAAATCAACATTAAAATTGATAGTAAGAAATCATAAAACTCTGGGATCTCTAGAAGATATAAATATGAACTATCCTGGAGGGTTATAACCTCAGTCCAGGCTACACTGCATTTTCTCACTAAGGCACTGCTGAACATGAGTTTGCAACTAAAAATAGAATCCACTATGAGAGATAGCAAGCACAACAAATAGCTGAATTAGACCATAAAGAACTTCAGGTAATACAATTATCCTATGAATATTTAATATTTATATAATAATTTAAATTGTATATTTAAAATTAATCAAAGTAAGGAATGGAAACATAAGAAAAAAGTAGATCTATCAGAAAGGAGCAGGAAGATCTGGTAATTAACCAAATAGAACTTAAAAAAGTGAAAAAAATCTACTAATAGAAATCAAATGACAGTTTAAAAACAGAATAGGTACAGTTATTGAGGGAATTAATAACTGCAAGTAGACCGGAAGTAAAAAATGATATTAAATGTGAAAGAGGAGTTAAGAGTCATGAAGGTCCAACATACATCTACAAGGAGTTCCAGAAGAAGAGAACTGGAGAAAAGCAATATTCAAAGCAATTATAGCTGTGAACTTTTTATAATCATTGAAAGCCATAAATTGTGGCATCTGGGAAGTAAAACAATAACCAAGTAGGAACGATGACAATAAATTCACACCTAGACACATCATACTCTAAACTACAGAGGAACGAAGACCAAGGGATGATCTCATGTAAGCACATACCTCAAGAATGGTAGCTTAACAAATTGGGAGCTCTAATTGCTGGTCCACCTCAAATTTATGATCTCCAATTTTAGTGAGGTCCTCTGTGGTATCTGGCAATCCTATGCCTGGTTTGCTTCCTTCCAAACCCTCCACCCTGCATGCTCACTCCCATCCACCTCACTCTTGTCATGTGACCATGCCTCCTTCACAGAGATACTATGTGGTTTGTAAGTGGAATGGGTTTGTCTAGTTCCATAACTTCTCTCTATCCTCATGAGTCCTCATTGCCTTCTCTTTCCCTGTCTTTCTTCTCAGACAAAAAACCGTCTCCCTTTCTGCCGAAAGCACATCCTGGTGCAGGTACTCTGCATCCCAGCCTTTCTCAGAGAATGTGTTCCTATTACTGTCCTTCTCCTATATTTTTAACGTCTCTCTATTAGCTACTTTCTCTCAGCATATACACATGCCGAAATCTGTCCCTTCTTGAGAAACACCAAAAAATCATTGCCCTCATCTTCTCAAGTTAACATTGTCCTTTCAGATCCAGGCTCCCCTCAAAGGAGTTTAAGCTCCTTGTCACTGCTAGCTTACTTCCTACTGCTTTCTTGATCTCCTGTATGATGGTTCCTGTCACATAGCATGCTGAAATGTTCTTGCAAAGGTCATCTTTTACCTTGAAATTGCCAGGTTCAACTGTCATTTCTGTCTTCCTCTTATTTGGCTGCTCCCTATCTGGAAATTCTCTGCCTCCTTGGCATCCATGATGAACACTTTCTTGGCTCTTACCAGATCTTCCTCAGCCTCTTTACCTGCCATGTAAATATTAGGGATCATTGAGATGGTTTTCCTGGTCTCCTGCCTTCTTCCCTTCTAAGAATATCCATGTTGAGGTCTTAGGTAAAATTAGATACAATTTCAATTCCTAGTCCTACTAATCAGTATCTGTGAGACCTTGGGCAAGTTTTATTAACCTCTCTGAGCCTCAGCTTCTTTATAAATTGATGGTGAGAATGTCTACCTCAGAGTGTTGTATTAGATGAAATATAGTTATGTGTAAAGTGCTTCAGGGCACTCACTGGTGTATGATAAGGACTCACTTTTTGGCAGCTGTTTTATTCTTTTTTTCCTCTTCTCTCTTCCTCTCCTTTTAAGAATAGATGGGTATTAATAAATATCATAAAGGTTGTTGAACACAGGTCCAAGTAAACAGAATACTGATTATCCCAATAATGGCTTTTATTTTATTTATTTTTTTAAAGATTTTATTTATTTATCTGAGAGAGAATGAGAGAGAGAACACAAGAGGAGAGAGGGTCAGAGGGAGAAGCAGGCATCCCAATGGCTTTTTTTTTTAAGATTTTATTTATTTATTTGAGAGAGAGAGAATGAGAGATAGAAAGCACGAGAGGGAAGAGGGTCAGAGGGAGAAGCAGACTCCCTGCCGAGCAGGGAGCCCGATGTGGGACTCAATCCCGGGACTCCAGGATCATGACCTGAGCTGAAGGCAGTCGCTTAACCAACTGAGCCACCCAGGCGCCCCCAATGGCTTTTTTTTTTTAATCAGTCTGGAAAGCCAGGCTGATATAATAAATAATTCATTACCTGGGTGAAAATGCAACTATTAAATTGCTTAAGTGAGAAGGGAAACTACCTTTCCTATCTATTTTTCATTGTTTTGATATCATAAAGTTAATTTTTACTTCTTATTTCCAGGAATTTTGAAGAATCTGAAGATGATTTGAGAAACGAAGTAGTAGAATCCCTGGAAAAACTTCCTACTTCCAAAGAGGAAGAAAAAAGAGAAGAGGCTCCTGGTTTCACTAAGGGTGCTGAAAAGTTCGGAGGAGAGGGGATAGGCACCCAGAAATATGCAGAATTAAATGAAGGTTTAGAGAATATTTCTACTCGAGCTAATGACAAAGTATGCATTGCTGATGAAAACCGAGAAACATCAACAACCTGTCAAAATATACAAGTGTGATTATTGTACTTTTTCATAAGTGGTAAGTCAGTATCTATTAACTGTAGTATCTGGACACAAGTCATAAACACTCATTTTGTAAGAGTTTTCTAGCAATCCCAGGGATTTATTAATTTTTATACCTATTTAGACCTTGAGACTGACCAATTTGAGTGTAGAAATTAATATTTTACTTTAAAATTTTTTTTAAAGATTTATTTATTTGAGAGAGTGAGAATGAGAGAGAGAGAGCACATGAGAGGGGGGAGGGTCAGAGGGAGAAGCAGACTCCCTGCTGAGCAGGGAGCCCGATGCGGGACTCGATCCCGGGACTCTGGGATCATGACCTGAGCCGAAGGCAGTCGCTTAACTAACTGAGCCACCCAGGTGCCCTACTTTAAAATTTCTATCAAGAAATCTTTTGGACAATATATGTGATAGGCAGACAGAGTAATGTGCCTCTCTTCCTGCCACCCTTCCCCCGCAATACACCCAACAATGTGAATATATTGTTACATGGCTAAGGGGAATTAAGGTTGCAGGTGAAATTAAGGCTGCTAATCAGCTGACCTTCAAATAGGGGAAGGTTTTTTTGATTATACAGGTGGACCCAATGTAATCATAGGGCTGTTTAACAGTGGAAGAGAGAGGCAGAAGAGAGAACCAGAAGATGTCAGCGTGAGAGGGGCTCAGCCTGGTGCTACTGGCTTTGAAGACAGAGGAAGGGGCCACAAGCCAAGGAATGCAGGCAGCCTCTAGAAGCTGGGAAAGGCCAGATAATGGACTTCCCCAGAAGCCTGCAGAAGGAACACAGTCCTGCTGACATATTGATTTTAGCTTTAGACTTCTGACCTACAGAACTGTAAGATAATAAATGTGTGTTGTTTTAACTAAGTTTGATAATTTGTTAAGACAAGGATGGAAAACTAATTCATTTAGAGTAATGAATCTACCATTTTAGAAAACCGTGACTTTGAAATTTCCTCTATTGAATACACTTTTTTGAAGCAGATGTTGACACTTAAGGGAGTAGGTTAACTGAGCACAGAGAGGATCAAGGCATGTCATGTTAATTATGCACCAAGTAATCATTTTACTATGTTTTATTAATTTCTAATAGCTTCAAATGTGTCGATTATAAACTTCTTAAAGGCAGGAACACTACTGGTCCTTGTATTTTATGCTGGTCTTTTTACATATGGTGCTTGGCAGAGTGCCACAATTAAACAGTCTCAGTATTGAAACTACCAGATTTTTTATTGTGTTGTTGCTGTGAAGGATGGAGTGGTTACATTTCTAAGTGGTAGAATTCTGCCTAAGATACATGCTCTGTAATAAAAATACAACTAAAATTGTACATCCATCCATTGCTGAGCCAAGAAAACAAAGATGAGGAAGGGTTGGTCAGATTATTTCGAAGGTCTGCTTAGTGTTTACATTTGGGATATAATTTTATTAAATGTGGGGAAACGATCAGGGATGCATCCCACATGATTTGTCTTTTATGCCTGTATTTTCCTGGTAATGTTGGAGGTACTGTTCTTTCAACTTGGTGTATTGGGTTATAATCTACTCTTCTCGGGAGAGTGCTCAGCATGGTCACATCATGAGGCTGAGAATATTTAAAAATTTCTCACCACTGTGTTAATGTCAACCTTCGTAACACATGACCCTGAGAGATTGGAGCATCATTAATTTTAGGAGTCTTTTAGTGGTCAATGTATACATGTTTACTTTCAGAACATTATGTGGTTCAGACGTACTAAATCTGTTGGTGTGCTAAACAAATATTAAGCAGTATTTGAATGCATGGAAAATGAAACATGGTTCCTGAAAATCCCAAAGATCCAAAGACCATTCAGTTATATGTGGGGGGTGGGGTGGGTGGTGGAGTGGAGAATTAATGTTTAAGGACAATGCTTAAGGTCATTGAGTCTGCTCCAATGACCAGATGCTTGGCTAGTCTCTAGCTAACATTCATTCTAAGATTGAGTTCTTTGCTGTAAAGTAGGAAGTATTCATTGTGATGAGTACACATATCTGCAAGGTTTTTCAACCAACTTCAGCCCCCTAATTTACCTTACCCATCTTATGTACACCATTACATAAATCATGTTCTTGAGGCACAATTGATTACTTTATTCTGGGTTTAGGTTTAGCTGCATATGTCAAGTTGAAGCTATTGATCAGACTTGCATGTGTTTTTAGAATAAATTTTATTAAAAATTATGCATCTTGGTAACTATGTATCATAGCTACCAAACTGATCATTCTTTAAACGGTGTATCAACTCTTAACTTCCCTTCTAAGTCTTGTAACACGTATAGTTGTAGAAGTGAGCATGAAGCACTCAAGTATTAGAACTGATGCCTCTTTAAAGCCAAGGGTGGCCTTAGAATTAGGGTGGGGACAGAGGAGAAAGAATCAGCTGACGAACAGTGGGAGAGGTAGGTAAAATTACAAGGGCATAAATTGATTCTAGTAATTTGCATAACTTCTTGTTGTGGATAACTTTTTTTTGTTGTACCCAAATCTGTTGAAAGATTTAGCAGACACTCTATTGTATTATAGTCCTGGAGTCCAGGTACATTTACATAATTAAACACAAGTATTCTGAAACATTTATAATTACACTGACCACTCATAATTTTGTCTATAAGATGACTTTGTAAAAACCCCTGAAAATTATTAAAATAAAGTGTATGAAGCTCTGCAGTGTCTTGTAGGTCTGAAATACTCGTTAAAAGAAAAATGTCTATTAAACCTGGCAACCTATTTTTCTTGGGTATCAGAGGCAAGACAAATTTTTTTTTTTAAGATTTTATTTATTTATTTGAGAGAGAGAATGAGAGACAGAGAGCACGAGAGGGAAGCGGGTCAGAGGGAGAAGCAGACTCCCCGCCGAGCAGGGAGCCCGATGCGGGACTCGATCCCGGGACTCCAGGATCATGACCTGAGCCGAAGGCAGTCGTTTAACCAACTGAGCCACCCAGGCGCCCCAAGACAATTTTGTTTTACCTTTGAATTCTTTCCCTCCCTCCGAGCTTCCTTCCTTCTTTTTCTTTCTCTCTCTCCCTCCCTCTTTCCTTCCTCCCTCCCTCTCTCCCTCCCTCCCTCTTTTCCCCTTCTTTCCTTTCTTCCTTCCTTTTTTCCTTCCCTTTCTTTTTCTTTCTTTTTCCTTCCCTCCCCCCTCCCTCCCTCCCCCCTCCCCCCTCCCTTCCTCCCTCCCTCCCTTCCATCCTCCCTAGCATGTGGAGCTTAGAAATCTAGAAATATTAGTAGTAGGTAGTAATTCAGCATTGGGAGACTGCATGGGGGTGCAAATGTACCATACGGGGGAAAGTATCCACAATAATGAACATCACTTTATACCACAGATACAAACACATTTTGTATCTATTAAATCAAAGTCATATTAGACACAGAGATTACTATTCAAAGACCATGTAGCATGTATTTTATTATGCACAATCCAAATAAGAATGTGAATCCCCACTGCTGGGGGTTCAAATTATACTGCATTTGGACCACTCAAAAACAAGTTTTATAGGAATGAATAATCACTCAGAAGTTCTCCAGACAGACAGTAGCTGACACATTGTTTTGTCACTTTTCATGGTTATCAGTCATTCCCAAAAAAAAAGACACATAGCTACATTAGCAATAGGGAAGGTGAACAGATATACAAAGTATGTTTCCAGTGATGTGTGTGGCAAATAAAAATAATTTTGAAGAAACATGATTAAAAAATGCTTTTTGGAATTTCAGAATCCTTTCTTCTGGTACTACATCCTTCCCTTCTGCTTAATCCACTTCAATTTATGGTTTTCTGAGGGTAGATGGGTAGACTGCAGGGGCAGTGGCACGAATCTTGCCCCAAGACTAGCTGTAAGATAAGAAAACCAACTGAGCTGGAGTCAGAATGCTCAGCTTATAATCCTGCAGTGTTTATACTTACACAGCTTTGTGGGGCGCCTGGCTGGCTCAGTCGTTAAGCATCTGCCTTCGGCTCAGGTCATGATCCCAGGGTCCTGGGATCGGGCCCCGCGTCGAGCCCCGCATCGGGCTCCCTGCTCGGCGGGGAGCCTGCTTCTCCCTCTCCCTCTACTCCCCTGCTCCTGCTTCTCTATCTCAAATAAATAAAATCTTAAAAAAAAAAAAACAAAAAAACCCAACCCAGCTTTGTGAGACTGAAGGAATCTTAAGGTCTTTCAGTTGTTCTTGTCTATAAAGTTGAAAATGAGAAAACTGGACCCAAGGATTTGTAGGGTTCCTTCCTTCCAGCTCCAATGTCCACCAATCTTCCTTTTCTAAACTGAATCATCTCCACCCAAAGCTATGTTGGTGTCACATCATCCTGGGACTCTGTTTTGCTGCTTTTTGATCTGATGACAGATGGTGGCCTGCAGACGAGTCAACAGTGTAGCTGGGAGTAGATGATGAAGCTGGCTGGGTCCATGACTGGATGAGAGGAGTGTCACATGCCCCTAACACAAAGATGTATCAGACTGTGCAGGAGGTCGATTCACTGAACTAGTAGGAGCTAATTATGTATGCAGAAAATGCCAAGGGTTGTAGGTCTCTAGAGCCCTATCTGCACATCCACATACTTTTCCTGCTAGGGATTCGGCACAGAAGTCCTGTTAAAATCAGCACAGTAGTTCTAGCTACCAACTTAGTATCCATGAGTCTAGCTTGGGTCTTAATGCATTAATAAGGAGGATTGATTACAAAAGACACTTACTATATATTGTTACTTTTAATTAAATTACTTTATGAAGGTACCTTTAAAAAAAAAAAAAAACTTCTCTAATTTTCAAGGTACTCTCACATACTTTCCAAATCAGAATCACTAAGAGGTAGTGAAGAGAGGTATTACCATCTCCAGATTATGGATGAAGAATTGGGAGTTCCAAAAAGATTAGGCAGCAGCTTTAGTCTTAGGAGGTTGGAGGTTTGTAAATGATGATGCTGGGGTCAGGACCAGGTATTCTAAGTCTCACAACACACGATGCTCCCAACAGAGACCGGGCGGATGGAGGCGGTTAGTCCATCGTCACTATGAGAAAAACAATTTAGCACGATGTTCTCACTCAGACCTTCAGAACAGCTTCAAGCTGACTTGCAGCCCCCAAGATGTGGAACTGTGATGGGATAATGAGGGTATCCCTCTGTATCAGTACAAATGTACTGGTAGCACTGAACAAAAAGCCCCTCTCACAGACCCCAAGCTACGGGAAGATTGCGGGCAGCGCCCGGGCCTCAGCTGCTGACTCGGGGGGGCAGCCCCAACCCGCAGGGCAGCTATGGTCCATCTGTCTTTTCACGTGCTCTTAGAACGTGATGACGCCTGCTTCAAGTGTCTTTTCTCTTTTAAGAAGGTCGTCAGGTATATTCAAGAAGGTCATCCACAGTGGCATTTAGAATTTAAACGTACCAGAATTTTTCTCTGTTCCCAAGATGTTAGAACCATTTTAAAAGACTAATCAACTAACTGTCAATCTTCCATTTTCCATTCAACATTTCCTATTTTCTAAAGGGAAGTTCTCTTTCCTGGGTTCTAAAGTACAGTGATTTGACAAATAGGATCTGAAAAACAGGATTATACCCACATTAAGACTGTTCGTTTTTTTTCTGTCAGATCCATATTTTTCAGAATTTGGGACAGAATACTAATCTAAAATTTTTTTCATTTAAACCAGTTAGGTAATTTTGCCTTTTTTTCATTTTCATTGAAATAAATATCCTGTCTATGTACATACTGCTTAGGCTGACTTTATTACCATACAGAAACGGTTAGAAAGATACTAACATATGAAGGTGTGTAGCTGTTTTATGTAAAATAGCTTTAATCTGGACAGATATGGCATTATTTAAATAAGTTCTCCACAGAGGACAGGAATGCCAGTTCAAACTCCTGATCAGAGAATCTGCTTACAGATGCCCGAGCACTGCTTCGGATTTGGAGTCTCTTTTCCTCAGACATGGAAAGAATATGAGCCATGGTCTCAGCATAGCCATCTTCGCTTTCAGCCAGAAATCCAGTTCTCCCTCCGTGGTGAGGCACGACAATGTCAAGCTTTGGGCCCCCGGAATTGTGGGCAAGGATAACCGTGCCAGCTGCCATACACTCAACAACTCCTAAGAAAAAACAAACAGAAACCACGTACGACATTTTGAGAGCAGTCATAGGAACAAGGATGAGCAGAAACCTCCACAAATTATAAGACACTCATGAGAAATTCAAGTAAATGTCTGTTGTGTCCATAAATTTGCTCATTAAACTTCCCCGGTACCAAATAATTCTAAGCTTTTTTTTCCTTTTTAAGCTTCAAAATAATGCTGCTTCGCTCTTAACTGAAACAGGCAAGCAAGAACGGTCTGTAAAGAACAGACATACTGCGGATTAGAAAACAAAGTAGAAGACTACAGAATGCTAGCAAGACGGCAGATAATTAATGGTTACTGAAAGGTAAAAGGTGTAAAAAGGTATCAAAAGCGAAATTTCCGGAGTTCAAATGAGAGCATTAGGAGGTTTCCCTCCTCCCTCTACTTCTTCTCTTCTCCTTTGTTAGCAACTCTTCTTCTGCCCACTTCTGAACCGCTCTTGTTTTCAGCATTTTGCACCAGGGGCCTCCTCTCGCTGGGCACACTTTCCCTAGGCAATTCGACCCTCATCCATGGGGCTTCTGTAATGACCTGGACAACGACCCAGACAACTCCCCAGTCTGTGTTTCCAGGTCAGGTCCCTCATTTGCACTGCAGACTCATGTAGACAACTGCCCACAGGACACACACTTCCATGTCCCCCGGATCGTTCTAACTCTACATGCAGGGAACCTGGCTCATCAGCTGCCTCTCTTCCTGGAGTCCCGCCTCTAGGGAAAAGCCATCCACCATTCACACAGGTGTCCAAACTCAAAGCCCCGGCAGGTCCTCTCTGACTCTTTCTTTCTCCTCCGTTTAACAAATCCCGTTCATTACCAAGTCCTGTTCAGTCGTGCTTCAGAAGCTCCCTCGAGTATGTTCGCCTACCACCTTCGGACCCAGCACCTCGTCTAGGTTGCCCAACACATCCTCCTGCCTTCCCCGCCCGGCTCTCCCCGCTCCCCACCAATCCACCCCCGCCTCGGCAATCGGAGTGAACTTGAGGAAACAGAAAGCTTTTAAATCCAACACTTAGACTCAGTCTCTCTTTCTCCCCCTGGCTTCACACGGCCATGTGATCTGGCCCCAGCTCCCCTCACACAGGCGTGCAGACCGAACCCTTAGTTCCTTGAGCGTGCAGGCTAATGCTCCTTTGTCACACCGGTCACAATGCCGCTCCCTCTGCTGGACATCCTCCTCTCTTCTGCAAGGCTAACTTCCAATTACTGTTCGGGCCCCTGCTTCCATGGCACGTCATTTCCTTGGGCAACTATTCTCCGACCGCACACATCTGTGTCAGGTGTTTCTCTTGGGCGCTTTCATGTCACCCCACACTTGCCCTGGCATAGCTCTCAGCACCCTGTCCAGTAAAGCACTGCTGAACTGGTCGGAGGCACACACAGAGCTGGAAGTCTCTGCACACCAGCTCCCGCCTGCCGCGCACCTGGCACAGTGAATGCTCGGTGCGTCTCCGTGCAAGAAGGCACAGAAGTCAGGCCCTGTACGGAAGCGCTGAATCACAGAGGTCTTGCTGCACGTCTGGACTTCGTCGTGCGCTACCAACTAGGGACAGACAAGAGTATAAGATAAACTGTGGCCTTAGGAGAGGAAACTTCACTTGTATGTTCTTCGGTTTTCCCTGAACAACTGGCAGTGTGTGGCACAAAGTAGCCACTTGAGAGATACATCTTGAACCAGATCAGCCACAAACCAGCACTTGATTTTACATCAAAATGTATGCATAGCAGGAAGTCAGGGGTAGAGAGCGGATTTGTGCCAGACACAAGGAAGGCTAAATTAAAGGCTAAGGAGATTAAAGTCAGACACTTACAATGGGATTTGGCAGAAAGAGAGGCCATTCCAGTAATGAGTAGGGAATCAGCAGAACCAACAGAATTACTGTGAGGAGGCCAGTGAGCTCCTGAGGGGCTTTACCAAAATCACCTGAGGGCCTTTACCAAAACACATCTACGTGGGCCTCACCCAGAGATTTCGATTTGGTCCTTCAGTGAGATTAGGCCGGGAACCTGTCCCAGTCTGCAGATGGGGTTAGGTGGGGCAGGGAAACTGGGGCAGGTAAGAGCAGGGGCTGTCTGAGTGAGGATCCAGGATCTGCCTCTTACTGCGGCCGAACAAGGGCAAGTTCAAAACCTCTCTGTGCCTGCGTTTCTTTATTTGTAAAATGGAAGTAAGAATATGTATGAAGCAGGGTTTCAGAGAGGATTAAATCAGATAAAGATTTCAACAGTGACCTACACATGCAGTCAGTTGTCAATAAATACCAGCTATTATTAGTGACTACATACAGTTATGTCCTGCAGGGTCTCAAATGAAAAAAGCTTACTTGGTGGACTGGGAGAAGAGCACTAAGACTGGATAAAAACCTCCACAGTATCAATATTTTACCGAGAGGACCTAAAATGTACAGACAGACTCACCAATCCCAAAATGCTCATTCCACATGGTATGCAGACCAATTGTTGCTTCAGACAAGTAATTCTTTAACTCATCAAATGGGATGTTTATTTTAAATTCCACATCTTCTTGAATTCCTAGATCCTCAGAAAGCCTTCTCAGTTGGTTTACCCTCAGCTCATCATCTTGGTTTCGACAACCTCCAATGAGGACAAGTTTCAATGGAGGCAGTGACTCAGCCACCTTCTTATTCAGCAATTTAGCAAAGGCTTTGATCTGCAAAGGATGATTCTTTTCAGGCCGGAACTGGCCAATGGAAACCAGTAAATGGCCTGGGGTCGTCTTTTTGTCACGTAAGGGAATTTCCAGAAATGTCTGCACATCACAAGGTGGATAAACAATGTTAGTGCAATTCCCAACTTTCCACAGGGAGAGAATGTGGTTTAGTGTCCAAGAAGAATTGACCATCACTACATCACTGCAAGAACCAACAAGTCCATAAACAAAAGCAAATAAATAATAATAGATGAGCTTTACTTTGCTGAGCAAAGGATTCCTGGTAATGAAGGCTGCATTGTTAAATCCAACATTTTGATTCTTCACTACGGAGAGCATGTCTGTGCTGATCGTGGGATAATGAACATAGCTTCCGATGCGACAACCGCCTAAATACTTAAACAGAGGAAGTGTAAACGCGTATCCCATTGAATCGATGTAGATGTCGGGAACACACTGCATTAGAGCTTCCCAGCCAAGAAGAATGGACCCTAGACTTTGGCCCAGCAATGTGAAGTGAGGATAGAGTGAATCTTCCACAAGGTAGCGTTTCCTTAAGAAAACAAACTTCACTGGGTGAGTGAGTCTGATGTTAAATCTTCGGAAAGCACCTTCTAGTATCTGCTGACCACTGACGTTAACATCTCCAGTATAAACGACATAAACTGCTTCAGGATACCTAAAACAGAATGTAATAGTTAAGGTTTTCATTAGTTTAGGTGAAAACCAAGCAAAAGGTTGTAGATAATTATCTTCTCACAATCATAAAGAGGGTTATTTTTAGATTGAAAAAAAAATGTTTTCCATTCATTGTACTTGGTCTACTGATGCTCCTCTTTCTGGAGTCTTCTGCTGCCCTGCGAGCGAAATGTTAGTCCTCCAAATAAGACCGCTCATTCTTTGCTATTTCCTCTTCTAAGAACTTCACATAGCACAGACATCAACAAAAATTGCTGATTGACATTTCCGTTTTTAAGAAATATTCAGCAACTTTATTTTGACAACTCTCTCAATATAAAATGGTAATAAAATACTAATAACATTCACAAACAAGAGTTAAAATTTACTAAATGTATCTCTAGATAGGATCATAAATGCTAAAACGTTACTCAGTGTTTTTATCTGAGATGCAACAAGATTCTAAAAGCTAGATCTGGTGCCTGCATCAAAATTAGATATGATATAATTATAATGGAAATATGTAAAACTACACTCTTATGACTATTTATGCTTTTGGCATTTGTTCTGATTGTGTGTGTTTTTAGTTATTCTTTGAGTCATCAAACATTTATTCCGTATCTAGTATGAGCTAGTAGGTTCTGGGGATTCAGAGATTAGTCTTTACCTTCAAGGAGCTGAGTCCAGTGGGAGAGACAGATATATAAACATAAAACTGCAAAACTGTGTTGATAAAGATAGCCATAGGGTGTTGTGCAGGCCTAAAGGATGGGCATCTAACTGCACCTCCCAGCAGCCAGAATGATCCTTAGAAAATGTAAAAAGGATTGTCACCTCTGGTTGCTTAAAGATGGCCACAAATTCTTTGACACTTATCGAGTGGTGGGATCTATGTCCCCTCCCCTGGAATAACAGTGGACTCTGTGACTCCTTTTACCATTAGACTATGTCAAAGGTGACATTTCACCAGTTTCTAGACCCAGGCTCTAAGAGATGGCAATTTCTACTTTGCTCTAGAGAAGTCAGCTGTCATGTAAGGAGTCCGGCCATCCTGAGGCTGCCATATTGTGTGCAAGCCCAAGGCAGTCACGTGGAAAGCCTGCGGGGTGACAGAGACGCCTGACCCGTGCCCCTCACCCTCAGCCGCTGGAGCTGTTGCAATTGTCCCAGCCCAGGAAACAGACACGTTAAGAGAGGCCTTCAGATGACTTGGCCCCAGTTACCATCTAGCTGCAGCCGCTTGGCATGAGGGATTCCCAACAGGGCCTGTCAGTCCCCAGACAGTTAGAAATAACGATACATTCTTGTTTTAGCTATTACATTTTGGGGAGGTTATGCAGCAACAGATAAGCAGAGTGTCATCCCTCTGTTTGAAGTCCTCATAGGGTTTTCCACAGCACTCAGAACAAAATCTAAACTCCTTACCCTATTCACTCAAGCCCTGTGTAACGCTGGCCCTGCCTCCACTCTCTCAGCCAAACTGGATTCCTTTCTGTGAACAAGCCAAGCTCCTTCCAGTCTCAGGGGACTTGCAGGAGTTGTTTTCTCTGCTTTGAATTCTCTTTTCTCATCTTCACTGTCTTTTCCTGAGGCAGACAGTATGGTTTGTGGTTTATAATGCGGACTCTGGTAACTCAGTTTCCTTGTCTGTCAAATGAGGGTAACAGTAACAACCTCATACGGTTGTTATGAGGACTGAGTGAGCTAACCCGTGTAAAGCACTTCAAACGATGTCTGGCATCCAGTAAATGCTCAGTAAATTTCAGCTCCTTTGTCATTTAGACTAAAGCTAAGTATTAACCCCCTGGAGATTTTCCCTAATTACTCAGTCTAAAGTGTGGACTCACAAATTATCCTATTCGATTTTCTCACATAGCATTTCTCACCATTTGATATTTTTCTTTTTGCTTATGATCTTGTCTCTCTCTCTCAACTAAAATCTAAGGTCCATGCATGGTAGAGCTGTCACAAAACTTTACCAATGCCCTCAAGAGCTAGATAATCCAGTTAGACAAGTTAATGCACAGAGTTATGAGAAGCAAAGAACCGGAGGGATTAGAGTAGGAGTAGGGAAGGCCTCAAGGAGATGGATAGTAAGCAGAGACTTAAGAAAATGTTCTGAATCTAGGCAGTTATGGAAGATGGCAGAGGAAATGCAGGGGTGGCGGCTGGAAGCCATGATGAGCCAAGAATATAGCAATGTAGAGCAAAGGGAATTCCACGTGAAGGCTCTGGAACTGGATGAAGGGTGTGTGCCAGGATGTAGCGTAACCATGGAGGAATAATAGTTTTCCTCCTATGATACAACCATCATTGGAACTTGGACTTTACTATGTTTGTTCCTCTCTACAAGGGGATCGTAAACATTTTTGGGGTGAGTATGGGGGTGCGGGTGGGGAGAAGGAAGGCTAAAACTTTAAATGACCCGTTAACAGCATACTCTTTCTAACATGGTAACTTAAGACTTCTAACTGGTAATGATATCAACATCAGAATCAAATAGATGCTTTTACAGAGATTATTTCCTGTGTACCACTACTGACTAAAAGTATTCAGGTTTAAAGCACTCCCCATGACTTGGTATATTTACTATTCAACTTCTTCTCCACACATTCTTCCAAGGTAACAGTTATCCCCACTAAATTTTGCCATCAAAGGGCAGGTACTGGGCGCCTGGGTGGCTCAGTTGGTTAAGCGACTGCCTTCGGCTCAGGTCATGATCCTGGAGTCCCGGGATCGAGTCCCGCATCGGGCTTCCTGCTCAGCAGGGAGTCTGCTTCTCCCTCTGACCCTCCTCCCTCTCGTGCTTTCTATCTCTCATTCTCTCTCTCTCTCAAATAAATAAATAAAATCTTTAAAAAAAAAAAAAGTTTTTAAAAAAAGGGCAGGTACTTTCCCTTTCTATTTCTTTATCATATCAACTAAAATTCAATAGGATCTTGTAAGGCGGGCTGCCATATAACAGAATTATTTCCTTATTGAAGAACAGTTAATTCCTGGCTATGAATAAGGTATTCATATCTGAATAATGGTGAATATCTGGATAATGATTTTTTTTTTTAATGGTAATAATAGAGTAAATTAGCTAAGAAAGATGCATACCTACTTTTTCTGCAGGGCTCTTAAGGCACACCACAAAACTCTTTCTCCTCCTCCGCCAGCATTGCAGTATGGATGAAAAAATGCAACCACCATTTGCTTTTTCTCATTTTTGCTAGTTGATACTGACGCTTTCTTTCTCTGTAGCAGCAGTCTGATTCCCCAGAGGATAATGAACAGACATACACATAAAGTTCCACAGACTGTCAGCCCAGGGAGGAATAATGAATAAAAAAATCTGAAACAAAAAGCAAAATGTAAAAATCGACACAATGCCTATTCAAAAGAAACTACAAATTAAAGTCTGCTTTTACATATCCGCTTTCTATATTAATAGTGAAGACAAAATTTTTATAGCTGGAAGTCTGCTAACAAAATACTCAATTTTTAATATTCTAACACCTATAAAATGTCCAATGTCAAAAGGTAATCCTCTTTAATTTCAATCTCCACAGAATGCTAGCAATTTAATATAACTTTTCTTTTTAATTGGCAGTGAAAATCAATGATCAGCCACCTTTCTCCTAACAGTGTGTATGTGTTAAAGGATTAAAAACAAATTTAATTACTAACCTTAACAAGACATGATTAGGAATGGCATCTGACCCTCAAAATTATGACACAGAACTCAAGCAATATGTCTTTGAATGATCAATAATGAACTCTTTTTTTTTTAAGATTTTATTTATTTATGTGACAGAGAGAGACAAAGTAAGAGGGAGAACACAAACAGGGGGAGTGGGAGAGGGAGAAGCAGGCTTCCCACTGAGCAGGGAGCCCGATGCGGGGCTCGATCCCAGGATCCTGGGATCATGACCTGAGCCGAAGGCAGATGCTTAACGACTGAGCCACCCAGGCACCCCAATAATGAACTTTTAGTTAGGTAAAAGTTTGATGATATAGTAAATCATTTTCATTCTCTCACTTCACCTCAAATAGAAAATTTCTGGGGCAAGAGGAACTTAGATACCTCCATTTCTTTTCTTTTCTTTTTAAAGATTTTATTTTATTTATTTGATGGAAAGAGAGAGCACAAGCTAGGGGAACGGCAGGCAGAGGGAGAGGGAGAAGCAGGCTTAATGCTGAGCAGGGAGCCTGACGCGGGGCTCGATCCCAGGACCCTGGGATCATGACCTGAGCTGAGGGCAGCCGCTTAACTGACTGAGCCACCCAGCTGCCCTATTACAAGTTCTGCATTTGATCTGTTTCTATGACCCTAAAATCACTGCCTTCCTTCAGGTGCCTCTAAATGAGTTGCCAAAAATGCACCAACAATCTACTTCACTCACATTAGTGAACTCGCTCCGACACTGACTGCTAAAAGGCTCTCTTACTGACAGGCTGACTAAAGCTCTGCAAACACAAGGAAGGACCCAGGCCTGTTCACCACTGGATGCCAATGCCTAGCATAATACCTGGCACAAAGAAGGCATCCACTAAGTATCTGTTGACTGAATACAAAATTTTATTACCTCCTCGGATGTCTCTTAGATTGTGTTAAAATAATTTTTCGAAGTATGTTTTTCTGTTAGGGGTTGAGCAATATAGTTGGTCCCTAACCTCATAGTTTTTATATCTTGCCTACCCTTTGTAAGGAGGAAGAGCTTGTAAGGCATAAAAACACTAAAATACTAAAACTTAAATACTGAAATTCAGGACCAGGGAAAACAGAGTTAAAGTATTTGGTGGGGAGGGGGTGACAAGTGGGGGATAAAGATATAGAAGCTCTAAGCTTGTACATAGTAGTGAATAGCAGATTGGGCTCTGAAGGGCTTAATGACCCAGGACATACGAAGATATTTTGTACAGTTACAAAGTTCTCACTGTCCATAAGTAGAAAACACATGGATTCTTCAGAGAATATCTTATTCATATTTAGTTTGGAAATAAATTTCTCATGTGGTATTTCCTATTGTGAATAAGTCTACTACCTGAAGAGGTATTTGACTTATTAAAATGATTTGGTCTCAGGATAACTTTAAACTCTTAAAAATAACTGAAGACCCCATACAGCTTTTGTTTCTATCAGAATTTCCCAACCTCGGCACTACTGACATTTTGGACCACATAATTTCTTTGTTGTGAGGGTTATCCTATGCGTTATAGGATGTTCCTGGCCTCAACCCACTGGATGCCCATAGTACTGTACCAATGATGGCCGTAAGAATTATCCCCAGGATGCCTGGGTGGCTCAGTTGGATAAGCGACTGCCTTTGGCTCAGGTCATGATCCTGGAGTCCCAGGATCGAGTCCTGTGTCAGGCTCCCTGCTCAGCAGGGAGTCTGCTTCTCCCTCTGACCTTCCTCCCTCTCATGCTCTCTCTCTACCATTCTCTCTCTCAATAAATAAATAAAAATCTTAAAAAAAAAAAAGAATTATCCCCAGACATTGCTAAATGTCCTGCAGGGGTAATATCACCTCTTGTTGAGAACTACTCATTTAAATTGATTGTATCTACCAATATTTAGCATATTAGAAATGAAACTGAGGAATTAAAAACATTATGAATTATCCCAAAAGTAATGACAAATCCATTACATGTTAATATATCTTAGTTTTACTAAAACAAAAAAACAAAACCCTATATTTTCCAAACCAAAAATAAATAAATAATAAATAAATAAATAAATAAATTCGGTAAGAAGGCTATCACTGTTTTATATTTTTGCAAGATTCTTTAATGTCTGGCTTAACAGAAAACAGTGGCTTTTCACATCTGCTTCTGCATTCAATCTTGGTGCTACATTGTTTTATTTGAAGTATATGAAGGCAATCCAGGCTCACTCAGATATGTAGTAGGAAGAGGGAGTATGTTTATTATTTTTTTTTAAAGATTTTATTTATTTATTTGAGAGAGAATGAGAGATAGAAAGCACGAGAGGGAAGAGCGTCAGAGGGAGAAGCAGACTCCCTGCTGGGCAGGGAGCCCGATGTGGGACTCGATCCCGGGACTCCAGGATCATGACCTGAGCCGAAGGCAGTCGCTTAACCAACTGAGCCACCCAGGCGCCCGGGAGTATGTTTAAATAGCCCTTTCAGATACAGTATTTTTCTGGGATATTATACCAAATTAGACAAGTGGCAATTTCTTAATGGCCAGGTGCAACATGGAATATGAAACTGAATCAATGACCTTTTCATTCTCTGTTTTATTGAAATCTACTGGTCTTACAATTTGAATGAATCTTTTACCTATACATGATTTTGTAACATCATGACTTGATTATTTGGAAATTATTGGTTCATGACTCATGGAGACTTTCCAAATGTGGGCACATTTCATTGTACAATATCCCCAAATCACATTTGTTAATATCACTGACCATCTCATCAGGAAAATCTTTTAATTACTGGAAAGTGGTCAAGCTCTGAATGGCAGATACAAGTTTTCCAAAGTTCTAATTTTCATGCGAAAGTTCAAACAAACTTTATTATTAGCAACAAATTTTGTCACTTGTTTTCTTTGAAATGACAGGTCACTTCATTTTCATTTTCTTTTTTTTTTTAAAGATTTTATTTATTTATTTGACAGAGAGAGACAGTGAGAGCAGGAACACAAGCAGAGGGAGTGGGAGAGGGAGAAGCAGGCTTCCCGCTGAGCAGGGAGCCCGATGTGGGACTCGATCCCAGGACCGCGGGATCATGACCTGAGCCGAAGGCAGACGCTTCACGACTGAGCCACCCAGGCGCCCAGGTCACTTCATTTTCAAATAACCAAGTCAGAAGATCCACAGTTTATCTGTCAGTAATTCTTTCAAGTAGAAACCATGTCCCATAAAAAAAAGTGTCTATGGGGTGACTGGGTGGCTCAGTCGTTACGCAACTGCCTTCAGCTCAGGTCATGATCCCAGGGTCCTGGGATTGAGTCCCACATCGGGCTCCCTGTTCAGGGGGGAGCCTGCTTCTCCCTCTCCCACTCCCCCTGCTTGTGTTCCCTCTCTCACTGTGTCTCTTTCTGTCAAATAAATAAGTAAAAAATCTTAAAAAAAAAAAGTGTCTAATTCAGCTTGCAACTTAGCAATCATACAAGAGCTTTTCCTTGAGATAACCATCATACCTCAGTATGGAGACATTATATAGAATATTAAAAAGATATGTATTCAAATCAAGGGTTAATATGTAACAAAATTAATTTTTACTGTTACAAGGACATTGTTAATAAAACTGGCTTTAGCAAGTGCATGGTATCAAAAAACACAAGACTATTAGAACACTTTGACATCACTGCCTCAATTTGTGCTAAGTAGCAATTTTATCCACCATTACTTTTGCACTATCGGTGCAAACATAAATATAATGAAAAAGCAAATGTTATCTTAAATTATTATAAAAATAGTTTGACCTTGAAGAACTACTAAAAGGGTCTTGGGGACCTGCTAGGTCTATGCCCATACTTTGAGAACCACTGTCTTAAAGGATGAACAGAGAGCACCTGAGTGGCTCAGTCGTTAAGCGTCTGCCTTCAGCTCAGATCATGATCCCAGGGTCCTGGGATCGAACCCCCCGCATTGGGCTCTCCACTCAGCGGGAAGCCTGCTTCTCCCTCTCCCACTCCCCCTGCTTGTGTTCCCTCTCTTGCTGTCTCTCTCACCATCAAATAAATAAAAATAAAATCTTAAAAAAAAAAAAAAGGATGAACAGAGTTTGACATTAGTGGTAAGATTTGTGATTTATTTAACATTTGGGATATATGAATTCATTAAAGCAGTATTATATAGCTTTCCCAGGACAAGCCAAAAGCCTATTTAATTTAAAAATGTGGCTGACCTATAGAGTACAAAGATTTTTATGGCATTTCCTTCTAATGATTTAAGTGGTAAGATTCATGTGATATATTTTCAAATTGAACGATTTAACTTGAATCAGAAAAAAATCATATTAATGACTAAAGTTGAGCCAGTCCTTTATTCTGTTAGTTTCAAAGACACAGACTCTATAAATAAATTTATTAAACATTCTATAGTACTTGTACATTAAAACTACCCATTTTAGGGGCGTCTGGGTGGCTTAGTCAGTCACGCGCCAGGCTCAGGTTATGATCTCAGGCCCCTTGGATCCAGCCCCTTGTCAGGCTCCTAGCTCAGCAGGGAGTCTGCTTAAGAATTCTCTCTCCTCCTCTCCCTCTGCCCCTCCCCCATCTCTAAAATAAATAAATCTTAAAAAAATACCCATTTTAGAATTTGTTTAAATATAACTAAAAATATGTGCCATTAAATAATGCTTACCATAGAAACACAAAGCTTTAAAAAGATAACTGTAATCAACAGTGAGTCATTCATTCAACAAACACTTATTTAGCCATTATAATGTGCAAAGCACTGAATTAGGGATATTTCAAATAGCAGGGAAGAATATAAAGCCTCTGAAAACAGAATTTCCTGTTCAAAATGTTTTAAATAATCATTATAGAATTTGATGTAGAGGGGACAAAAATGAAGACACAATACCTGAATTTTGGAGAGAATATCTATATACTGCTATTCAGGGTGCTATGTGTTAATTACAAATTTTCAACCTGAACAAAAATAGTTCTTTCAACCATCTACACAGTTGAAAGAACTGTGTAGATGGAATATACTAGGTCTTCTTTTTCTTCTTCTTCTTCTTTTTATAAATACAGGGCAAGGCACGTAAAATACAGTAGTATTACAATAACAAATATAGGAAAAAAGTCTGGGTTTTTTTCACCAAAATGTTAACAGTAATCATCTCTGGATGGTAGCATACCTGGCGAATTTTCTTTTTTGCTCATCTATTTCTTAACTTTTCTACAAGAAACAATGTATTACCTTGTGATAAAATTTTATGTAACTATTTTTACATCAACCAGAAATAAAGATCAATGGATAATCATGAAGCAGAGGATTCAACATAAACTTTATATTGGTGAAAATTAAAAGAACCCTCACTAAAATGGAGTCAGGAAGTCAGAAGGGGCAACGCAAAAGAAGCCCTATCACTTACATATCAATTTCATGAAGAACTGTCAATTCTAGCCTCCAAAAGAAAAATCCTAAAGGGGAAGGAATTGTCAATTATAGACCCCAAAAGAAGAATCCTAAACAGGAAGAAATCATCACTAACAGGCCCCAAAAGGGAACGGTGTACATCGCATCTCCTACAAGAGTACTTCTGCAACTCTGCCAATGAGAAGTCCTCACCACTCTAGCTTTTCTCCAGACTTTCCTTCAACCCCACCCCCAAGTTCCTCCTCCATCAACAATGGTCCTGTCCTTTGTCGGACTTGCCTATGGTTTTGCCGTAACTTGTGTATCCAGAAATGCAATTCTCTGCTATTCCCGGAAAACAAAACAAAACAAAATCATTTTTGCTGTTAAGAGAGATGTTTTATTTTTAAGGTTAACATACTTAAGTGACATATGTTAACAGTGACAGTTCCGGTGAGTGAAAGCGGGGAAACTATGACAGGAGAAGGAAGAGCCAGTTTATTCTTTACCAAAAGGAGAGACACGATAGTTTGGAAAATGATTCGTGGCTCAGTCATAAAGAAAAACGAGGACTGAATATGAATAATTTATGAAAGAAGAATTGGAGTGCGAAGAAGAGAGAGAAAAAAACAGGAAGGGAAACTCGATCCCGCACCAGAATGGGGCAGGAGAAGAAAACGCGGTAAACTGAGTCTTTAACCCACTCAGCTCCAGTCTGAGTGGAGACTCCAAAGTGAGAGGAAGAGCGCTCACTGTCCTTGAGGAAATTGCCTAGACCCGTATCAAGAAGATCCTCCTCCCCGCAAATTTCAGTTGCACCGGGCGGACAAATATCACCGTGAAACAAAACGCCTGCAAACCCATACCACCTGCTCCTCACCTCAATAACTCGCACAGGTACCAACCCCCTTTGGTGGTCGCCATCTTTCCTCGACCCCCGAACTCAGGAAGCGCTTCTCTGTTCCTCTTCTCTATTGGCTCCTGAGGAAGCGGGAGGTGTTCTCTCCGCCCCCACGGGGCACATTGTGCATTTCAATTGGCTGCTGGTAGTAGCTTCCCACGGCCTTCCAGCCAATAGAATCTTCCGAGGGGGGGAGCCAAGTTTTCGGCGTGGCGCACAAGGATCCCGCCCCTCTAGTGGGCGGGGCCGTAGTGGGAGTTGGGCTGCGGAGGGCGTGGCCTGTGATGGACAGCCGGCGCACCCGTCCTACGCCCCCTCCCCCACTGGAAGCCCCTAGCGCGGAGCCTGCCTGCGGTTAAGACCAATGGGAGGCCCTTGCGCGTCTCAGATCGATTTTCCAAGTGCGGAGTTCAGCCCTGCGGCTGCTGCAGCGTCTGGGATCCGCTGTGCTCTGGAGCCAGGCGCGGAGCGGAGAGGGAGCTGTGCCGAGCCGACCCGAAGCCGGCGCCCGCCACGCCGCACCTTCCCCGGTTGGCGAGCCCTGGCATCTGCATCTCCGGTCCGGCTCTGCGCCGCTCGCCCGCTCTCCTGTCCTTTTCAGCACACGCCGGAGGCCGAAGACCGAGTCCGCAGCGCACCGGCCCGAGGTAGCGGAGACCAGGGAGGGAGGACCGGCTCCCGCCTGGGGCACCGGCAGGGCCGCCTCCGGGTGTGAGTGAGGGTCCGAGGCCCACCCTCCGCTCTGGCGCTCATCCCCGCGCCTCCCCCCTTCCCCCAAGGGCCAGGGCGCCGTGGCGCGCAACTTTGAACCAGTCCGTAGGGCGAGGTCTGCTGACCCCTTGGTCTGGAATGCAGGGGCCGGTCCCCAGACCCATCCCCGGGTGAGACAGCCGAGCCGCAAGATGCCACCCACCGCCCGCTCCTCTTCTCCCCAGGTTTTAACGCCCCGCTTCTCGTCCACTAACCAGGTGACCTGGGGGCTCTGGGCCGATCACAGAAGAAATTGGCCCCTCCGGAGGAGGTTGCTTGAACAGGAAAGACAGATTACAGCCAGAGAAGAGGCCAGTCGGAAAGTAAGTTTCCTTCCCCGGGCGCTGTGTGCTCACACCTACCTGGAGGACTTTGCACGCCCACCTGCCGGCCTTTTCTCTGCGGCCCCGCGTGGCCGCAGGGCCGCCAGAGCCCCAGCCCCAGGGGAATCGGGGATCGTAGCAAGAGCACCCTCAGAAAAGGCATGGCATTAACGGGTTTGCAGGAACGATTGAAACCCCAGCACTTTTCCATTCATCTTTGTGTTAAGGGATCTGAAGCTGGAGATGTAAAGTGAGCGTCTAGTTGCTGTACAAGAGCTCTTAATTGCCCAGAACGATTAAATTAATTACCTAGAGAAGTTATTCAGAGTGCGCGGATCTCTTTATGATGTATTCAGGTCCTGCAACTTTTTTTTTTTTTTTTTAAATAGGCTCCACACCCCCTGTGGAGCCCAACAGGAGGACTGAACTCAGGACCTTGAGATCAAGACCTGCCTGAGCTGAGATCAAGAGTGGCGCATAATTGACTGAGCCACCCAGGCGCCCCCTGCAACTTTTCTTTTTTATAAAGAACTATTTTGAATTCATTTTAATTACACAAGTAACACAATAATGCGGTGACTTAAAAATGCCAACAGTACAGAATTATTGAGCATGAAAAGCAGATCTACTTTCTAATTCTTTTCTGTTGATTTACATATGTCTTCATTTGTTCAGCAAACATTTATTGAAAACTTACTGTTTCGGGCATAGTGTTAAAGAACTGAAAGTACTGTGGTTAAAAAAAAAATGTGTGTGTGTGTGTGTATATATATCCAGAGAAATCTTTAGATTTTGTATGTGTGCGGGTTTAAGATTTTTGTTTTGTTTCACATGAGATCACATAGTGTATATTCTCCAATCTTTTTTTTTCTTTTCAGTAGAACTGTGTTTTAGAGATTGTTTCAATTTAGTACATAAGCATCTGCCTTGTTAAGTTTAACCTCTGTACAATATGGATGTATACCATGTGCATACCATAGTATGTTCATCTTTTCCCCGTGAGTGATCCTTCTGGGTGCTTCTAACGCCCCCCCCCCGCCCCCCGCCCTGCAAGCCTTGCTGTAGTGGACGTCCTTGTACATGATTTGTAGTGCTGACACTTGAGTATTTTTTAGGATAGACATGTAGGCCTGAACTGCTGGTCTACAGGTTTCTGAAGGTAACATTATTGTGTGCCCTTTTGTAGTGAAATCTGTCTTGGGCTCTGGTGGTATAGCAATGAAAGGTAAGTGGATTAATGGATTGTTAGAGTCTGGCTGATCGATGATTCTTAGTGTGATGACTCTGCATTTAATGGAGGTGTGAAGAACATGTGGGTGAGGGATGGCTCAGAAAGGGGGAGACACTTCCAGACCCCTGCAGTGCCCCCACCTCTCTACCCATCAGAAAAATCCTCATCCTTCCAGATCAAGCTCAAGATGCTTTCTCCTTGAAACTTTGATAACTGCTTCTCCCAATTTTGACCTCACCCTCTTTTGGATTCCTTAGATAATAGTATTAGCCAGCATTATTGAGCTAACCACTACTAGGCATTCTATGAAGTACTTTATACCCCCCTATGTGCACAAAACCCTTTGATATAGGTCTTATTTTCCTTTTATCACCATTTATTTAACAAATTTTTTTAGTATTGTGTGCCAGGCATTCTAGGCACTGGGGATCCAGCGAAGACTAACACCCTGCCCTCAAGGAATTTATGCCCCAGAGGGAGATGCAGAAATGTAAAAGGGTAAACAAAGGGGCACCTCTGTGGTGCGGTTGGTGGCGCAGTTGGTTAAGCATTCAACTCCTGGTTTCAGCTCAGGTCGTGATCTCAGGGTCATGAGATCGGGCCCCATGTCGGTTCTGTGCTCTACACAGAGTCCACTTGAAATTCTCTCTGTTCACTCCCTCTGCCCCTTCTCCTGCTCTCTCTCTCTCAAATAAATAAATAAATCTTAAAAAAAAAAGTGGTAAACAAGTAGTGTAATTTCTGGTACTAATAAGCACTGTGAATAAATCAGGTTATGGGAATTATAAATGACAGGGGAGGGGAGATGCAGGTGGTCAGGGAATTCTCTGAGGTGGTTGTATGAATAGAGACCTGAATGGTTCAGATTTGGGGGAAGTGTTCTAGGTTGAGGAACTAGAAGGTGTCAAGGTCCTCAGTCAGGAGTGACCTGAATGTTGGAGGATCCGTTAGAGAAAGCCAGAGTGGCTGGAGCAGAGAGGAGAGCGTGTGTACAATACAAGGTCAGGGTTCATCTTTACAGAAGCTGAGACAGAGAGAAGAAAGTTGCCCAAGGTCCTACAGGTAGTAAGAGGCAGATCTGGGATTGAGTCCTAGCCAGGTCTTTTGACTTTCTCAGGTTAGTATTTTCTTTCAAACTTCTTTGACACCTGGTCATACTGTCTGATATAATTATTTAAACTTATCTGAATGTACCTATTTCTTTTGCGACAACTTGAAAGTAGGGACTGGGTTTGTATCTTTTTTTTTTTTTTTAAGATTTTATTTATTTATTTTGAGAGAGAGAGAAAGAGTGCTTGCACAGCAGGGGGAGGGGCAGGGGGAGAGGGAGAGAGTATCTAAAGCAGACTCCATACTGAGCAAGGAGCCCAACCTAGGGTTTGATCTAACCCTGAAATCATGACCTGAGCCGTAACCGAGAGCCAGACACTTAACTGACTGAGCCACTTAGGAGCCCCTAGGTTTTTATCTCTTAAAATATATTCCCCAGGGTTGCCTGGGTGGCTCAGTCGTTAAGCGTCTGCCTTTGGCTCAGGTCATGATCCCAGGGTCCTGGGATCGAGCCCCACATCGGGCTCCCTGCTCAATGGGAAGCCTGCTTCTCCCTCTCCCACTCCCCCTGCTTGTGTTCCCTCTCTAGCTGTCTCTCTCTCTGTGTCAAATAAATAAATAAAATCTTTAAAAAAAAATATTCCCCATAGCCCATAATAAGAGGTGTACCACAGTCGTTCTTGAATGAATTATAGCAAGATGCTTCCCTCCCCTCTCTTGCCACCCTCCCCCCCTTCTTTTCTCTTCAGAGGCCTGTCTGGGGCAGCAGTGACCCTGGAAAGGAGGTGGTAGTTCATGACTGGGTCATTCAGCCTTCATTCACTCTGCCAACATGGAGTAGCTTCTCTTTCTCTGGTGCTGGGCCAAAGCAGAACAGAGGTGCAAGAGTGGCACAAAGATGAATAGAGGTCAGCCTCCGTGCTCTTGGAGCTGACAGTCCCAGATGTCTCCACGGCACAGCACTCACAGGCAAGAATGGTCAGCCCTTCCTGGGAGGAAGGCTACAAAAAGAACTTTAAGAAGAGGTGCTGTGAGAGTGAGGTCTTGAAGGAGAAACACTGTGTGTCAGCCGGGCACGCAGAAGAGTGAAGGGAGGGATGCCCCAGGTAGGGACCAGCATGTGCAAAGGTCCGGAGGATAGGAATGGAAAGATGGATTTGCTCTGAGTGGCTGAACACGGCTGGAAAGGTGATGGTGGGAGGCCCTGTTGTTCAGGTCTTTTGGACTTTATTCCACAGACTGGGGAGTTTGTGGAACCTGGGAAAACAGTGTGAGGTGCTCCTCCAAAGAAAAGGGTGAATGGGGAAGGGAGCTGCTGGAGACTTGCTTAGAGGCCTTTGCCAGTGGTCAGCCCAGCCAGACCCAAGGTGGCTGAGACCCTACAGAAGAACTGGGAGTCCCATTCCCTGTGGAGTTGTGTCAGGGAGAAAGGCGGTTTTTTTTAGACTCCTCGGTGTCCAGAGTGTCAGAGGCAATGGTAGTCCTAGCAGCAACAACAGAGTGTAGTTGATACACAGGTAACTGGGGATAAGCTGGGGGTGGGGTGGGGGCCAGGACAAGGAACTGGGTAAAAAGCTAGGGGGGCAAGAGGGTTGGATTTTAAGTGCTTTTTTATCTGACATTTATCTTCATGGCAAGAATGGAGATGGCCCAGGGCCATGATGACTGTTCATGTTCCAGTGTGTGCAATGTTATTTTT